GTGCACGACCAAGGAAGGGGTAGAATCTTTCCGTGTAATTCCCTCTCTCCATCCCTCGCCCTTCCCCCTCTTCACCTTTCTATCCTCTCCCTAATCATACCCGCACTCTTCCCTCCCTCCCTCCACCTTTTGCCGCACCTTCAGATTCAGATCACCTACGACAAGAAGCGCATGGTCATAATCGCTCCGTCCTCTTCCTTTCCTGACCTTCTCCTCAGCTCCTCCTCTCCATCTCCCTTTGGGTTGATCGACATTACAACTCAAGCTCCGAGCAGCACCTCGTCAAGTCGTTCCTGCAGGCAAGAAGAGGCATCGGCATCGTCAAAACCTTCCTCACCCCCCTTCTCGTGCTGCTCCTATCTTCATCTTCCCTCTCTGCCTCCTGCTCCCATTCTTCGTCTACTCCTCCTCCTCATCATCATCATCTTTGTTCTTCCTTCTCCTTCTTCTTTCTCCCCCTTCTTGTTCTTCTTCGTCATCATCATCATCATCATCATCATTCATATCGGCAGCATCAGCCCTCTTGTTTCCATCTCACAACCTTGTGCAGACGCTCGTAGAGCATGAGATTCTCTCACCGACACATCAAGACGTCATCCTTGCTCCTTATCAGCAGGTGAGATGGTGTCCGGTAGCAAGCCGATCTGAGGTACATGGCAGGAGGAGAAGGAGGAGCAGGGGGAGGAGAACCAGGAGGAGGAAGAGCACGAGGAGGATGGGGTGCCGAAGATCGTTGAAGACAAGGGGGCAGAGGAAGATGGAGATGTCGCCCTGTAGTGCTTGAAAGGTGAACTAGAACTTCCGAGGCAGAATGAAATGAAATTCCTTGAGCTTGTGGGCAGTTCAGAGTGTTATATTGCAATGCAAGGCAAATCGTAAGCAAACAAAAGGACTAAGGTCGAATGTAAATTCGCGATGGAAGGAATCTAAACAAGGTATGCTGCAATAAATTACAATGAGGCGGTCAGCTGTCCCGGTCCTTCACTTGTGTTTCTGGTGCGAGTGTTCCCTCCCCGGGCCCGACAGCTTCAGCCTCTTCTCTCCGTTGGCATGCTGATGAACACTAGCAGGAGCGGCATCAGACGCGGGCCTCTTCCTAATCTGAAGGAGCGTGCCGCAGCAGCAGCGGCAGCAGCAGCGGCAGCAGCAGCGGCAGCAGCAGGAGACGTAGAGGAAGACGAATTCATTGAGGACGGGGGAGATGTCTTTGCCATGTTGACTTTTCTGGCGACCTGCTGCTTGTATGCAAGAGCGATGTGAGGCTGCATGGAGGATGGGGGTCTTGCCATCGCCTTGTTGGCACTCGTGCTCTTTGCGGCGGCCAGGACAGAGGATGCCTGCTGCTGCACTAGAAGCTGCTGGAGCAAACTTCGCTGCTCCGCTAGGGCTTGTTGAAACAAGATCTGCTCGTTGAGTACGGGATTCTGCTGAAGAACAACTTGAGGCTGCATCTTGATATTCTCAGCAAGAGCTTGCCGCATCATCAAGACCTCCTTCAAGTTCACCCCCTGCAACCCAGCCATGCTCGCCGCTATCAAGGAAGCATTCTCGGCATTGTATAGCTGCTGCGCAGCACTCATTGGTGAAGTTGCGTTCATTTTTTGGAGGTTCAAGGCGCTGGCGTTTCCAGTGGCAGCATTCAAGAGCAAGAGGTTGCTGTTGGTCTGAGCAGGCAGAGAGCTGAGGTACTGCGCAAGGTTGATGTGTGCAGGATCAACCTGCACCGTTGGTGCCATAGGGCTCAACGACACTAGCAGGTTAGCAGGAAGAGAATGTGCAAGAGCAGGCCTCTGCTCCTCGACTTTGAAGTTTGACCGAAGCAAAGGCGTTTGGTTCCATGGGACTGACATTGTGCGTAATAACCTAACTACAAACAAGGTCAGAAACTGTTTAAGTTCGCCAAAAGCAAGAGAATAGGAATTAGCAAGATTGAAAATGATAATGGCAAGATTGTAAATGATTTAGTTTCTCTCTCTTTCCCCAGCATTCCACTCCACATCCCTCCCTCCCCTCTTTCCCCTTCCTCTCTCGCTTGTTCCCCTTGTTCCTCCTTCCCTCGTTTCTTCCCTCCTCTCCTCAATATCCCCAATTCACATTCCCCAGTTTTTCTTGCAAACCGTGTCTTATTTCTGGCTGCGGCCCTACCCTCAACCTTGCAATTATATATAGTGAGATACTAAGTAAATACCCCAAAGTCCTTCAACATCCCCTCAACCTCCAGCTCCTCGGCCGTACTCCCCGGCCCCTCTGGCCAGGCAAACACAGAACGTTTCAGAAAGAACCCACCCTAGTATGTCACCCCTGCGAAGCTCTGATGGTGGGGTACACGGCAATAACCCTGGGTGAGGCAGATGCGGTCACGCAATTTTTTTTTACAGATATACAGGGGAAGCAGCGACGCTCTAATTGTTGTCGCTGCCTCTCGTGCTGCCCCCGCTCTCGAGCTATGAAGATCCTCTGAGGCAAGTACGAATCTGTTTTACATTCAGTTTGTTCCTGGCACATGGCTGTTTCGTGATGTCTCCTCAGTCTCGTGTATCCGCATTGCAAGCATTTCACGCCCGGCCGGGCCGCCGCGCCGCAATCAGTGCCAGTGGCGCCGCCGGTGACCGGCGGGCCGGATCATCAGTGGGTCGCCGGGGTCTCCGAGGCTCTCTCAGCATGGTCAACTGATCTCGTACTGATTTTTATTACATATGTTATTATTTAGAGATGTTACTTTCACTTTCAGCAAGGCTGTATATCATAGTACAGTAGTATCGGCGAGTCAGCAGCTTATTGTTCGTTGGGACCATTCTCTGGCAGAAAAGTCGAGTCAGCGTCAATGGTCACCCGGTTGGACAGGCACTGCCGCAGGCAGGCAGGCAGGCAGGCAGGCACAAGGAGAAGAGATGAGTAGGCCCATCAGAAATTGAAATGAAGAGGAAAGGTGAAGATAAGGTGACTGACCTCAGGATTAGTCGCTTCAGCATCCGATTTGACTCCTTGAGATGCAACAAACGCACAACGTCGTTTCGTTGCATCTGATGCTGATTCCAAGCTTCAAAAACTTGTCCTTTCAAACGATTGACTTCAAGCGATATGACGTTCCATCCGTACAGAAGACGTCGAATATCTGATTTCTTGATACTCGCAGCCAGCTCCTTGGATTGAATAGTTTTGAAGCATTTCATTTGCCACGCCAGGAGAACTGATTCGTATGTCCGTGAAGCCTTCCACTGCCTGACTCTCTCCACTAAGTTTCTTGCTCTCCTTCTCTTCCAGGTTGCGAGAGCTCGATGATTGGCCCAACTTTGAATAGAAGATTGCATGAACCTGCGTCTCCTTTCCGATTTGAGCTTGTTGGTGATGCAAGTGAAGGTGAAAGATCGCATCGACAAAGACAGCCATCGCCAGAAACAGTTCTTAACGAACATATGTTCATGAACCGATCGGATATCCTTTGCTCTTTCAACGGAGACAAGAAGGAAGCGGAAGGTCTTTTGCTTCATCTTGCGGTGGACCCGATTGTAGAGTCCCAGACTTTTCTTCTGTCTTAACGCACGGATTTGAGTCAATCGAAACCACATGTTGATTGATTGCATACAGACGAAGGTTTGATATTGACCACGAGCATAGTTGATCATGCACCATGCCTTGATAATGTCTTTGCAAACTTTACGATTGTGTTGATTGAGTCTAATTCGTAGCGTACTGAATAATTTGACATCCAAGCGAACTTGTGTTCGCCAGATCGTGAAAACAAGTTTGATGAGAGCAAATGAATTAGCCCTCGATAGAAATTTCTCAAATCCCTCCAGCATGCTTTCAATTTTCCCTATGCTCCATTCGTATCCTACAGCAAATTCAGCAAGTCGCTGTTCTCTACTGCGGAGCCAATCAAGTCGACCAAGTATGCTTTCAACATCTTCTGTGCCTGAGAGCAAACCTTCGTCTCTGATCTGAACATCTTCTTCATTCTCATCACCGCTAGGAATATCCCGTCCTAATGAGTCATCAAGCGTATGATTAGCTGCAAAAACTCGTCTTGCTCAGCATCTTCCTGCAATAACCATCGCTGAACGCTTTCAGAGGCCAGTAGCCCAAGGTGCTGCTCTAGCCTACTTGTCTTCCTCACGTCTGCTCTCCCTCCCACTCGGTCTCCTCCTCGTCTGCTGGATGAGGCACCTGGCAGCGGACGATCCAGCGGTATCACCTTGAGCTCCCTCCCTCCCTTCCTCCACCGGATCGTTCGTATGCCCTCTGCCATGATCGAATGCAGGTCACCGTTCAAGTTTGACACCTGGGCCCGCCTCATCAGCACTTGAAATCTACCGCACCGTACTGGCACCGTCTGTCACTACTGTGAAGCCAATGTGACGGGCCCCGGGCCGTGCCAGACAGTGACTGCCAGCCTGAGTGCCAGGCTGGGTCGGAACGCCGGGCGGATAAACAAGGTCTGGCCGTGAGGCTGCCGTACAGCAGTGCCGCCGGGGTCCGACTGACAGTAACGTCCAGACACTGCTTCGACTGAAGTGGAAGAGATAGAAAAGCAATGCTGAACCGGGCCTATTTGCAATACAGCTCTTACAACGAAGTACCGTATCACGCTATCCAATCAAATGGCCTAACTTCATCGAATGTTTCGAATGTTGATCAACATTCGATGAAGTTAGGCCATTCGATTGCTTGACCCTGTCAACACAGAAATTTCGGATTTTACTTGCTTTAGGAAGGAGATAAATTTACATCAAAGGAGTGCATTCCCACTGAGGATACGAGGGAAGATGCAGATCCCCGTACAAGGTATGAACAAGCAGATGTTATGGGATGATTACGAGAGAAATCCAAGGGTATTTCCGTTGTTCTTGGCCAACTTGATCAATCCCTGTGCCAACATACATCAGAAATCTCATCAAGCACGTCTCTTTCAATCACCTGTCTGATCTCTCTGGTGGTTCCAGTGTAAGAACAGAACTCAGTGATGACCTGATGAGCACCCATAAGATCCGCCGCACGGCAGCGATAACAAAGACAATGTGTAATCTCAGATTAAGGCAAGAGATGAATATTTCAACAGGAAAGGTGTTTGTACCTGTGAGTGAAGGGTGATCGCCTGAAAATGTTGTCATTGAGTCTGCAGTTATATATCAACAATGAGTTACCTTGCCACGGATTTGATTGAATTGCTTCTCCCCGACAACTGCACGGGTTGCAACCACAAGAGGGGTGAAAGGACCGAACGCGGACTGCTTGCCCATCTTCGCTGGTTTGGCTGCTTTCTTTTCAGGTTTGGGAGGAGCCTCGGTCTCAGTGCTCATGCGCACACTGCAGTGAGATGCCTGTCCTTCACTTCAGTATTGGCACCCTGGAATAGTGGGGAAATCTACCTTCCTGCCCTGTACAACACCAGATGCCAAAGGAGAAAACCCGAAGGAGTAGACAGATGGCAGGACAGCAGCCAAGGCAAGAACGAACAACAAGGCGGTATGGAACGAAGTCTTCATCACTGAACAGTTGTCTGTGACCGTGTGTTTCTTTGTAGCTGCTCGAAGTCCTGCGCCGCTCGGAGGTTGCAAGGGATGGTCGAGCTTTATATCACCAGGTTTTGGTTCAACAAAACTAAAAAGTGCACCCACCCCTCACTCAACTCAAGTACCTACAAGTACCCCTATAATTTACCTTAATTGGGAGGGTGATGGAAGTGGAGGAGGTGGGTTGAAAGGAGTAGGGGTGATTTACAGCAGGACAGCAGAGTTTCAGTTTACAGTTCACGCTGGAGATAACTAAACTTTCGTGGTATTCTAGAACCAGCAGACAAGGCAGTCGGATCGGAGGCCCGAGCTCGGGGCCCGGACTCGGGGCCCGGACTCGGTCCGGGCCCCGCCGGGCTGAGCCGTCCGAGAGTCTGGCACTGAGCAACCCCCGCCACCATCAACTATTCAGGGTACCTGGTGGGGTGGGGTGACACCGACGTTGGAATGATGAGGGGGTACTCTGTAGTAAGGGGTTCGTATAATTGAGGGTAGGGGTGGAGGTTGAGGAGGGTGGGGGGAGTTGATGATAAGAGTCTTCGTGCACGTGCCCGGGACAGAACGCACGAGGAATGGTGAGCTTGGAGAGGAGGAGGAAGAGGCAGAGGAAGAGCAGGGGGTGGGGGGTGAAGGAAACAAGTGATGGTGGAGACTTAAGGAGCGAGATTTGAAGCGCTTCTTGTGCTTGAAGTTGAGCCCCCTGCTGCTTATCATGTTGACGTAATGCGTGGATGATCATTCTCAAAAGCATAGTTCACTTGAGCCGAGGCTGTGAAACCAACATTCATCACCAATCATCGTTGACACGCAGCCTTTTGTTTCTTTCACAACAATGTTTTGATGGCATTCATTGATGTTTCTTTCTTTTCCAGGAAATGCTTGTGGCATGAGACAAGTACCCAGGATCTCCCCCGTTGCGCCGTGAACGTCCAGGTGAGAATGCGAGGCGGCATTGAGCATGTCTGTTGCAAACATGTGCGATGAAGATACAACTTTCACGACGGTCAAATGAAAATTCATGATTAATCAAATTTTTTTAATCTCATCAGTTTGTATTCCCTGAGCACATTTTGTTTTTACTTCATCCCATTGGCTGTTCGCCCTGTCATGAAAGCCTGACAATTGTGCAGGTTTGCAGAGATGGAGGGTAACTTATATTCTCATTGCCAAGTGCAATGTTTGAGCTGGCACGTTGGTGCGTCTGCTGTTCGTAGCAGCACAGCTTGAAACGAGCCCCTGCGGACCCCCTGGACTTTGCGAGTCAAACGAGGATTCTTGTACTTCTTTACAAAGAGAGAGGAAGGAACGAAAAAAATAAAATTACAGTCGCGCATCAGCCCCAGAGCCAACCCCACCCATCCCCCGAGGTCTTCTTGTGATCGTATCTTGGTATGTACATCGTCTTCCCGCCCACAAACTTCTGCAAAGTAAAACATCAACGAGGGATTCCTGTGGTTAAAACAAACAGCGTACCTTGTCCAACGAGGGAGAGTTGATCTTCTTTCTCTTACTCTCCAGCCTCTCTGCTGCCCGCTCCTTCTTGCTGTTCGCCTTCAGCAACGCCTGCGATTACAACGTCATACAAATCGCTCGCACAGCGAAGCTCCACCTTCGTGACATGAGCAAGTGGGTCCCCGTCATGGGCTGTCGAGCTAGGGCCTGTCCGCATGAAACTGCCGTCTTTCTTTGATTTCTTTGATGTGGAATCGCCTCCATGCTGCACACTCCTGGATAATGAGGAAAGCTTCGACTTGGTTGACTTCTCCCCCTTGTCTTCTTGGGCAGCACTCTCGAACGCCTTGGCAAGCCATCGTTCAACTTCTTTGGGAGGATGGAGGAAAAGTTTATCTTCCGAGGTAGACACTGCTTGATCCTTGTGACGAGGAGCACTTGAACTGGATCTACCATGATACAACAGTGACTTCCCTTTTTCCCCAATCTTGAGACGCGATGAAGTCTCTTCGCGCTCCTCAGCCTTACTCGAATTGGTCGCATCCGTTGCAGCCTCCGAAGCATTCTGCCTGGCTGTCTGATCCTCGCTTGTAGGTGGCTCCTTCGAATCCTTCACCAGCCGGACTAACTCTTTGAGCTCCTTCTCCATCTTGTCAACCCTGCCCTCTAAATCTGAAACCACAGGCGACGCATGAACCTCAGCAGGTCCATTTTCCTCCTCCCTTGTTGCATTGGAGACGTTGTAACCGACCTCCCCAGAAATCTCTGTAAAGTTGGTCATGCCGGTCTCGACCACAGCAGAGTGTTCAGACGGGGGGCCCTCCCTGGGGCTCCAGGCATCTCGATTCCTCCATACATGTTTGTATGCTCCTGGTCGGTGCAGTTCATGCCTCCTGTAGTCTGATTCTTCCGAGTACCAATTTCCAGACGCGATTTTCTCAACTTCGTGCTTCAAGATCTGATACTTGTCAAGAACTTCCCGATACCACTTCCGCCAGACGAAGATGTTGTCAGTTTCAGGCGCTGGAATTCCGTACTTGGCAATCTGGTGAGCTTTCATCACAATGAATGGATTGAATTGAGGATCATGGACAAATGCATCAAGAGCATCTCGGAATTCTTCCATTTCACGGTGCTTCTTGTGAAAAACTTCTGTTGCCGTTGGAAAGTCGTCAGGGTCCATAATGTCAGGCCGTGTGGACTCCGACACATCCGGGGGATGCTTCATGAGTTCCTTCCATTCATCGCGTAGCTCTTTCTGCCCCTCTTCAATCTTCTCCTCTGCCTTCCGTATGGCATCCATCCTATCCTTCTCCGTCACGAGTGGATGATCGCTTGGAATATCCCATTGATAGTGCAATGGTGAAGGATCACCATTCCCATCTAATGGTACTCCCCATTCATCCTTGACCTGATTGTCATCGTGTCCACCATCATCATTTGCCCCTTCTTCTCCAAGCTCACCATTCCCTTCTTGCGATATTTCAGGAGTGTCAGCAGAAATTTCTCCCTCTCCCTTGGCTTCATTCCCTTGCCCTTCCTCTCCCTGATCCTCAGTTTCATCTCCAGAAGCTCTCGCTACTTCTGGGTTTGCTTCATCCTCTTTGGCAGCATCTTGAGCTGGCTCTTCATTCAATGACTGACGAAAGAAGCCCCCATCGGCTCTTCTGGAACGGAACATTGTCCGGGGTTCACGAAAACGACCCTGAGAGTGATCGCCTTGCCACCTTGAAGTCATTCCATAACCACCAAAAGTATGCTCGGGCATCATGTGCACGTATCCTTGTCTTGCCTGCTGATTTGCTGGCATTGGGACTCTACGAAGGTTCTCGAATGGGTTTCCTTGCGGCAAACCACGTGATGGATATACCGGCCTTGGACTTTCTCTCAACTGGGCTACTGGAGCATTAGCTAATCGACCTTCTCGGCGGTTTTCTGCATAATATCGGTCCTTAAAGGTGCTGTAGTCAGCACCTCCTCCACGCAGCGCTTGGAATTTCTTAGCGATCCTCGCTTGGTTTCCAGTTAACTTCTGGTTGTTCGGTCCCCTTACAGTCTCTGAGTTTGTCTGGTGAACTGTATGTCTTGCATGCCAATCTTCTTCTCTCTGCTTCGCAAAGTATGAGATCCCCGGATAGTGATCGGGCCTCTTCTCCCGCGTCGCTCCCCTGCCCCCCCACAAGCTTTGCAATGCTTCACTCTGCGCTGCCTTTTGGTTGGGGATAAAGACGCAGAGGCATGCAAGGGCAGCAGCAGCGAGCATGGCTCCCCTAATTCGCCATGTTCTGGCGCCTCTTTCCCCTCCTCCATCGCAAGTCCGGCGCCAGGTGACAGCCATCGCATCATTCTGCGCCACCATGCCGCCGGAAATAGTCCCAGAAATGTTTTACTCAATCATTCCATCCATTAGAGTGGGTCAGGGCGGGGAAGAGGTCTGCAACAGTTAAAAATCAGTGCGAGAACACGGTCCTTTACTCAAAGTTAAGTTAAAAATCAGTACGAGGACAATCGCAACCCCCCGGCGGCCAGTTTGTCAGACAAGGGCGCCCGGCCTGCTCACTGATGATGATGATGTGATTTGGACGAGTGATCAATAATCTCAAGAATCTTCAACGTCCTCCTCCTGGTCGTCATCGTCGTCGCCGCCGTCGCCGCCGTCCTCCTCCTCCTCCTCGTCCTCCAATTCCTCGCCGTCCTCATCCTCATCTTCCTCCGCCTCCTCGTCCCCCAATTCCTCGCCGTCCTCATCCTCATCTTCCTCCGCCTCCTCGTCCCCCAATTCCTCGCCGTCCTCATCCTCATCTTCCTCCGCCTCCTCGTCCCCCAATTCCTCGCCGTCCTCATCCTCATCTTCCTCCTCCTCCTCGTCCCCCAATTCCTCGCCGTCCTCATCCTCATCTTCCTCCTCCTCCTCGTCCCCCAATTCCTCGCCGTCCTCATCCTCATCTTCCGCTTCCTCGGAAGAGGCTTCCTCTTCTTCCTGTGATGGCCGCCTCCGGCGGATCCCCAGCCTCACATGTCCCTGCTCTTCCGCTTTGTCGTCCTTGTCATCATCATCGTTATCATCCACTCCGACGTCCTCGCCTACAGCTGCCGCCGCCGCCACCACCGCAGCAGCAGCAGCAGCAGCTCTTCCTCCGCCGTTGTCAGAGACGTACCGAGACACCTCGTCGTCATCCTCATGACGATGCTCGACCGAGTACTCCTCGTTGTCATCAGAGCAGCCTTCAGCATCGGAGAACAAGAGACCAGGATCAATATCGCTAGTGCCAGGCTGACTGACACGAATTCTCTTGGACTCCACAGCGTCTTCATCGTCTACGGGGCCAAGACCATCTTGCTTCCGCTTCAAGGAGGATGGTTCAACCTCCTCGCACTTCTCGTCCTGACCTTGCTGACATGCGATCTCTTGCGTTTTGGGACATTTCTGAGCAGGAGCGACCTCCTCGTTCTCTTCTCTCTTGCGTTTGCTTGCGGTCAAGTCCTCTCCCTCGCTCGCTATGGCTCCATGCTCCAGCGGAAGCCGGGTCATGGCTGTATGCTCCCGCTGGCGACTCCACCATAGAGCCGATGAGCCCCAGTCGCACAGGCTGTTGACCTGAGCGCCTGCTGTATGCAGCAGCAAGAGGACGTCTTCCTTTCCAGCCCTGCTGGCCATCAGCAGAGGAGTCTGTCCGACATGGTTACCAGCATTGACATCGGCCTTGTTCGCCACCATGACTTGGATGACTCTCAACGGCACAGGAGGAATTTGACACGCGAGCATCAGAGCTGTGCTGCCGGACTGATCGCAAGCGTCAAGAGCAAGGGAATCATCCTCGTCGCAGTCCAGCAGGGCGTTGACGCGTCTTCTCAGCAGGTACTCCTCCACCACTCGCTCTCTCCCGTGAGCTGCAGCAACATGCAGCACCGTCTGACCGCTCAGAGACCGATGGGACCAGTCCGCTCCGGCTTCATGGAGGAGCGTCAAGATCCTACCGCGAGTCTCCTCCTTCAGTGGAGTAGCAGCTGCGTGAAACAAGGCCGTCCATCCATCCATGTCTTGCTCGTTGACAGTAGCAGCAGCATCGGGAACTGCCGTCATTGCAGCAAGCAGCCTCGGTCGACCTTGCTTCACTGCAATCATCAAGAACGTTTCACCAAACGTGTTCTTAGTGGCCAACCACTCCTTGTTGTGGCAACAAGCGTTGAAACAGGGGAGGATGAGGCTGGTCGGTGAGTTGTTTGCCAAGAGCGTGGTGAATTGATGTTGAAATGAAAACCACATGAGCGAATGAGGTATGCATCTTGATGATAACATTCGCAACACAGGCAAATCTCCGTCAGCGATGACCTGAAGAAGGATCAAGTGCCCGTCTCCTCCCTGGTCGAGAATGGCTTCGAGCAGGTGCTGGTGGGAAGCAAAAGGTGTGAAATCTTGCGTGTTTTTCTTAGCCATGTACGCCAAATCCAAAGGCGTCAACACGGTTGCTGGGAGACTGTTTGTTCGCTGCGGGTCGAGTTTGATGGTACAGACAGTTGACGAGCAGCACTTGCTCTCCAACATCATATGAACAACCTTCCAGCTGCTATCTTGAATCGCTCTCTTCAGCAGCGAGCGGCCATCAGGCGTCGCTCTGTCGTCGAGCCCTCGCTGCAGGAGGCAGTCAAAGAGCTGGTAGCACTGCTCTGTTGTGTTCCTGCAAGCATACACCAACTCCAGGAGGCTGCGGCTGGAGGTTTCGAGAGTTTTGACTGGGCTCACCCGGCTGTCTACCAGCTGCCTTGCGAACCACCACCTGCGCTCCATGATGGCCGTTCTCAGCAACTGGTTCTCCTCGCCGCTGCTCCCGGAGTCATCTTTGACTCCAACCTCGCTCAGCAGGTCGAAGATCAACCTCCATGGGACTCGATCAGCGTCTGTTAGCTTGTACATGGCAAAGAGGAGGTGCAGAGCTTTGGGAGAGTATTGCCTTACCCACCTCCTCGTGACTCGTCGGCAGACACTGAGAGAAAATCGGCGAGACATGAGACGGAGATGTGAAGTTGGAAGGGACTGCAGGAGAATCTTGAGGAGATCCGCTCGCTGGGAAAGAGGATCGACATGGTCAAGAGATTGCAGGCAGAGGAGTAACACAGTTCTTCCGAAACTGTCAGGAACATCCTGGAAGCCATGCTGGACAAGAGTGATGATAGTCTGTTCATCGATCCTTCCATCTCTCTGAAAACTCTCGAATGCGAGCATCAACAAGCTTTTGCCCGACCTCGTCACAACCTTGCTGAGATGCTCATAGCATCGGTGAGAACTTGACAGGGCCTTGACCAGTCTCCTCCAACCCATCTCGATTGCAACTGACAGAGCTGTCCTTCCGGTCTCAGACACAAAGTCACGAGCTCCTAGACGTAGCATGATCTCACAGCAGGAGTTAAGATCTTCAAGCACAGTGTTCTCCTTGTCTTTCTCATCACTTGACTGCTCTTGCTCTTGTACACCCTCTTGTTCCTGATCATTGTCATCAACAACCATGGCGGTGCCATTCCCGCTTTCTTCTTCTTCATCTCGACTTTTATCTTCACCTTCATCCTCCTTCTTCCCACCTGGTTGATATGACACACCGTCGAGCAGATGTAACAGCGTGTTGTGTCTTTGAATGAACATCCTGCAGTGCTGCGGAGGCTCATGTACCATGGAGGCTGACGAAGCCATCGAAGCAATATGCAGGCAAAGCAACAACTTGGGCAAATCTCGTGTCTGGATGCAATGAGATATCTTGCGGGAGAGGCATCGGCTCTGTCTCGCTGTGTATACCCATTTCTCCTTGATCGAGGAGAGTTGCTCCACTGGTAGCAAGTTGATAGACAGATGACCATGTACCTCCTGAAGCATCTGATGCATCAAAGCGTCGAAATGTGCTTGTCTGTCTCTTGTGGGAGTCAACATGAAGTCTAGCATCTGTCTTGTTTGCACCCAATTCTTTGCTCGGATTGCAACCTCCAGAGGACAAAGTTTTTGACAAGACGACGAAAACAATGCTGCAAACATGTCATTGGTTCTTCTCCTGGTGTCTACCCTCAAGAATTGAGACAGAGTTTCGCATTCTTCGTCTCGCAAGGCAAGGAGAAGGTTGTGAAACGGCAGTCTAGCTCGCTGGCAAAAGGAATGGAAGGAGCTCCAATTCCACTCCTTGATTGACGAGCTTCTCCGGTCGTGCTCTCTGTCCGTCAGGTTCAAGATCCTCTCGAGGACAAGCAATTCCTGTCGGAGAGCTTTCTCTCGACGTGCTGGTTCGCCACCGCACAAGTTCTGACGGAGGTTTTGCTCTGCCTCGAGCAAACTTGTCCGAACTGCTTCATCTTGCAATGGCTGAGAGGTTTCAAGGAAGTCTAAAAGGACCGCAGCTGTGTGGAAGAGCAAGGAGTGACGTACCACCTTGTTCAACACCCGCGCCATGACCTGGAGGTCAAACTCGAACGTCTTCGTGTCGAATCCCCTAGATGAAGCAGCGCGGATGGACAAGTCAAGCAGCAGCAAGCAAGCCAAGTCCTCCGATTGATCCACCTCCTCCAGCGCTTCCTGCAGGATTGGACGGCTGGAGCCCGGCCTGCAGTCGGGGAAACAAGAGATGAATTTGGAGGATTCGAAGATTTCATGCAAGGACGAGAAGTCATCTTCGCTGAGATTTTCATCTTTGACACTCACAACGAATTTCGACACCATGGCACTGTACAGCATATCCGCTTCGATACCATTGTTCAGTAGAACCGAGCAAAACCTCGACAGGTCGACCAGTCGCAGAGGGGAGGAGAAATTGATGTTCCCCTCGTTGGCTCGAGGATACCAAGTCCAGGCGTGAGTCCTCCGTCCGTACGTCCAGCTCCCTTTACTCAGCTCGGTGAAACCTTTCTCGGTGAAAGTGATTGTCATACTGATGTCTCCGTCCACAACATTGTGAAACCTCCCGACCAGTCGCAGCATCCGTGGTGACAAGACTTGGAAGGTCCCGTGGATGGTACAGCCGAGATTGTAATCTCCGAAGAAGGTTCGCTGACCTGCTCTCTTGGTCAGCGTCAAAATCAGATCAGAGTCTCCGTAATTCTCCTCGTACACGAGCTTGACCTCGCCCTCTTCCGTTGGGTCCTCTGACGTGCAGAACGTACGTGATACCAGGATGTCTAGCAGTTGTTCCTGCGAGCTCTGTGACAGGTGATGTGAACCATTGTCTTCGGTCGACCTCAATGCTCTCTGTTTGGTCTCATTGCAGTAAGACGCTGAGCCAAGTCTTCTGCAAAGTTCCAAAACCCTGGGAGGAGAAAATTCCGACAGATTCTCTAGGATTTCAACGATCGACGGTCTGCCATTGGAATCCGAGCAGAAGGGATTTGCTCCCGCCTGTAGCAGCAGGCCGAACGCCTCGTCAAATCTTGTTGAACATGCCAGGCTGAAGGGAGCCTCCTTGGTCAAAGATGTTTGATGTAGCATCATCGAGAGGACTTGAGGGCCCAGTTTGTCTAGCAGTCTTTGGAGGAGGCTGACGCTCCTGCCATGGATCGCAAGATGCAAAAGGGTATCTCCACTGCTCGTCCTAGCGAGCGGGTCTGACATGGTCAGCAACCTCATCGCGTCTTCTTGTCTGCTCAACTGACACGCAACGTGCAGGGGCGTCATGCCCTGATCAAGAGTCAAGCTGCTGCACAGGCGCTTCCAACGGTCGTCCTTGGGCTCGAAAGCTTTCCACATGGGATTCGATTCGTCAGGAGCAAACGCTGAGTTTTCAGCCATCAGATGAAAGATATTCTTGCCGCCAGTTGTCGTCGCAAACATGTCTGCACCATGTTCAAGGAGAAGTTTGACGCAGTCCACGTGATTGTTGCGGACTGCTTCATGCAGTACTGTGATGTCGTCGTGTGCCTTTGCGTTGATCAATTCGACATTGAATGCATATGTGAAACTTTTGCATATTTTGTGCAATATTTTGCTCTTTTGCTCTTGACGATGATCCCGATCACAGGGCTTATCACAGCAGATGTGAAAAACAGTCTTACCCTCCCTGGTTCTCGCACTGACATCTGCGTTAAGTTTCAACAACGACGCAACTTCCTTGAAAGTATGACTCTGACACGCAACATGTAGCGCGGACAGACCCTCCTTCGGATCCTGCAGGTTGATATGCTGGGGCGATGAGGCGAATGAGTTTAAGAGGAACTCGAGGCTTTCGCACAAGCTCGAGTCATGCTCGTTCTTGAGAAGCAGATGCAGGGCTGTCTCTCCGTTGCAAAGAAGGAATGGATCAGCGTTGAAGGAGAGCAGCGTCTTCAATCTCGCTTGTGAGTTTGACTGGCAGGCTGAGAGCAAGGGGGTCAAGCCTGTCTTCTTGGAGGGTCGATCCATCAGCTCTTTGCGTTCGCTCGGCTCGAGACTTTCAAGCAGCAGTCTCAGAACCTCAGCCGAGTCTCCTTCTCCTCTTACTGCTGTCATCACCGCCGACTCACCATCGCTCACATGTGAGGAGACCTTGACGCCCCGTTGCAGCAGAAACGAGAGGTCGCATGCTCGAGAAAAATGACAGACAAGATGGATGGTGCAGTCCAGCAGTGCGGGGTTCAAACCATTGACATCACCATCATGTGATCGAATGCAATCAATGAGAAAGTTACAGAGATGTCGTCTTGCTTGTCCCTGCACGCTGAGAGGGTCTGCGCCACCAGCGAGGAGTGTAGCCATGGTGAACATGGGAATCAAACTCTTGTCTGAGATGTCTGAAAGCGGCACCATGATGTTGTCCAACCATTCAGGGAGAGAAGCAAAGTTAGCACTTGTGCATGCTTTCACAAGACAGGCGATACATCTCAGCCTATCGAAGGAGTCTCTCTCTCGAGTACACAGCAGCGTCTGAAACATCAAAGCTGCATCGTCACCCATTAGTTCTCTTGTTGACTCCCTTTGCAAAATCAGCTTGACAACAGGCAGAGCTGCATAATCAAGAGCAGTTTGCAAAGTCTTGACAGGATTCGCTCCCACAGACTCAAAGCTTGCGTCTGACCTCAGCAGGGCTTCTAGTATCTTGCAAGCAGCATAGTCGTGCTCCTCTATTTCTGGAGTTGAAATGTTTGCAAGAAAAGACAAAATGTCGTGTTCACCTCGTCGAACCATCGTTTCTGCCTGGATCTCCGCCATCAATGCAGAATTTGGTTGAAATTGCTTCCATCCTTGGCATAAAGCATCGAAGACAGTGAAGTCTCGATCAGCTTTGATCGTTATGTCTCCTGACGCACTTAGCAATGTGTCAACGGCGGCAAAATTTCTCAAATTAGCAGCGAGATGCAGGGCAGTAAACCCATCCATCTTTCTGCATATGTTGACTTGGTTCTTGAAGCTCAAGACCAAAGTTCTGAACACTTCTTGTGGAAAGTCTTCGGTTTCAATTGCTTCATGAATTACTGTGTACCGCATGGCCTCTTCAGGACCCATAGAATAATGTTGGAGCATCAACTTGCTCAACCACCCTAGATCAACATGTCCAGGGACATGTCGCAACGCCAAGTGCAATGGTATGCATCCGTAGCCAGATTGAATGTTTGGGTTTGCTTTGTGCTCAAGGAGCAGGTTGATGGCTTGCGTGTGGCCCTTGAAGCACGCCAAATGCAGAGCAGTGAAACCGTGTCTCTCCGTCGCAAGATTCAGAAAGCTTGACACGTCCCCATGCAACTCGAACTGCTGTAAACAGGACGCGAAGATCATTTCGCTCGATGTACTCCATTTCCTCGTCAACATGATTTGATGCATCACCGAGCATTTCTGTCTGCTCAGCGAAAGAACGTCTGCACCGCGCTCGCAGACTTGGGAATACAGTTTGAAAGAGCCTTTCCTTGCGATGCGATGTAAGAGCGGAAACCCGCTCGAGCCAATACCGTCATTCAAGACATGGTGAATGTTCGGACTCAACAGGGCCAAGTCAACGATTCCATACCTCCACAGGCAAGGGAGGCTGGCGATTCTCAGCAGCAGCAGGTTTTCATCTCGACTGAGCTCTGCGCCTCTGCTTATAAGTGAGTGAGAGACTTGTCGGTTGTAGATCAAGGCCAACAAAAGAGCGCTGACGGGTCTCACTTTGCCGTTGTGCTCGCGAAGTTCTGGAGAGTGGATCCTGTAGTTTGAAGTATCGTTGAGAGTCGAAGTTGTGACATTGCCGCAGAACAAGATTCTGATCACTGCAGACCCAAACCTTTCAGGAAGCATCATAGCAGCCAAGTGAAAGACAGTCTCCATCGCAAGGTTCTTGTGTTGTAAATCCACCTGGTCGACAAGAAAACTGATTGTTTCCAAGATGACGGACGATTGCAAATATGTATCCTTTGCCTTGCTTGTGAGAGCACGAGTAAGAGACGAAATCGAGAGATCTAGCTCAGGCTTGGTTCCTCCCTTGTAGCCATGCAAAAATCTGTGGTCAAATGGACTTCTGTGCGTCATTTGCCCAGCCATGCAACATCGGCATACTATCATTACAAGGTTGTCTCCATTGTCATCGACCCAGGAAGGATCTAGACAGCCAAGTCTATCTAAAAGTTTGAGGACATCTGGTCTCACGAGTCTGCAAGCTTTGAAAGCCAAAGCTCTTAGCCGCCGTGCTGTTGTTTCTGGAAGTTGCCTTGCCAACAGTTGAGTTGCTTCGTTCTCCTCCAACGCTTTTTGACTAACATGCAGCAATAGCATAATCCCGCGCTCAAGCATGTTGAGATCGTTTCGCTTGAAAAGTTTCTTTAATGCATGGTAGATCGGGTGCGCGATAATGAGAAAAAATCTTTGCGCTCCTTCAGGATGTTGCATCTGGGCAAGATAATAGTTGTCATCATGAAAGGTGATCATCAACCTTGCAAGCTGCCTCCTCCATGATACCTCCAGGATCTTCTTGTAAAGTTTTCTCAAGTCATCTCTCGTCTGTTTCTTTGAGAATCTGTTGAGGATTGAAGCATTGTACGCAAGAGAAGCATTCTGCATCATCGAGATGAAGAAACGAATGACGACAGGCATATGCTGGTCTATGATCTCCTTCAGGTCTTTGCAACATGTTCGAAGCTGTAGCACATTGCGGATGCTCAATCCCTGCCCCCCCGCGCCTTGAAAGAAAGCGCTCGACTTGGCATGCTCAAGGCGATCAGAAACACTCTCTTCGAACTTGCAGGACCTATCCTGCAGCACCTGATTCGCCTCCGCTGATTCAGACCTGTGAGAATCGTCAGGAGAAATAAGTCCAAGTAGGTCTGACTGCTGTCGCTCACTCTGTTCTCCCTTTCATCGACGTCTCGTGGTCGTGAAGCTCAACAAGCAGATCGATGTTTTCATACTGGAGCAGAACATGCAGAACAGGTTCCCATACTCTGTCCGCTCTGTCGTCTATGTTGGGAGTCTTTCCCCCACCGCTAGCAGCATAAGATGACATGTTGTACGGCACGTGCTGGCGCAGCTCGTACCAACTTTGTAGCTTCGAAGGGAGCTAGGACAAGGTTTGTAGGCAGCAGCACAGTACTGTGAGCTGGGAGCAGTTGCGGGGTCAGAAGATCGTGAAGGGAAGGGGAGAAGAGAACAGCCGATGCTGTCTTTCTTGTTTGATATAATCCACTGGTGAGGCGGACTGTCTTTTTCTTTTTACTCTCAGGGTGGCCGGGCCGGGTGTCCGAGTCGGATGCGGCCGCCCGGCACCGGGCGCTAAAAGTACCCGGCGTCCGACGGCGTCACGGTGGTCCGGGCCTGGGGGGGTCTACTGGGCGGGTGGTGACCCGCCCGGCCGCGTGACTCAGTGACCAGAGGATTATTAATCTTTTACATGTGACATTTGGACAACAAGAAAACTCTCCATCGGTGTGGTTCAGTTTTTAACGGCTCGGCAACTCTTCTAGGTTCGCAACAGTCTGTACGATCTCGTAGATCGCCTCGATGATGTTCTGCACAGCCTCATTCTCGGAAACTCCATAAGCTCTCTTGTGCTCTAGGACCCACCGCTCGAGTTCGCTTGTCTCTGTCGCCCTCCTTTCCCGTCTCAAAATCAGATTCAACGATGTCACACATTGTGGCAGGCTGTCCGACTGCCTCCTCCCTGTTTCCAGCTCCAAAACAACTTGGCATGTAAATCCCAGCCCCGCATTGGAGGGACAAGTTGACAAGTAACCGAAAAGCTCATCTGTAGCAAAGTGCTTTCCAGACGCTTCTACCTTGTGCTTCACTGCTGTGTGAAGCTCGCAAAACCTGCGAAATGTCGAGGGGACATCGTGATGTTTTTCCAAGACATTCAGCTTCAGATGGTCTTCACCATTCAACCAGCAAACAATGCTGTTGTCAGTGTTGCGCAGAATCCCTCGATTCTCGGGCCAATCTCTTGCCGCACCGGAGACTTGGAGTAGCGAGTTTTTCGCTGGCTCTTGAAGTAGCAGGTCATCTGTAAGAAGGATTTCCTCGTCGATTGGGTCCATTGAGGAGATCTTCTCGTATACCCCGTCCTGTACACACTCTAGCAAAGCATTCCTCAGCAGCTGTTCGATCGAAGCACGCTCTTCCCTGCTGACTCCAGCCATGAAAGGGAACTCCGACAAGTTCCTGCAAGCCCGGAAGTGAGTTGATTTCACCACCTGCGCAACCTGAGAGAAGTTTGCGGGGACTGCGATCGAGTCAGGCGACAGCTGGCTGTGAAACCTATGAACATGCGGGTCAAGACCATGGACGGTCTTGATCATATCCACTGAGATCTTGTGGAAGAGCAGGTAGCACTCTTTGTCCCCATTCGCCACCCCGATCCTCAAGGGAGGACATGTCACAGCAGGTTGTATGTAGTTCGAGAACGTGAAATTAAATGAAGTCCTCTCGTCCTTGTACTCCATAAACGTCTGCGGTTTGAGAAGTGAGCGGAGAATCGACAGATGTCTTGTGGTCATTGGAGGCAACTCGTTGTATTGCCGAAACTTGAAGTTGGGTGTGTTTTTTCGGTCATACGGGGAATGTGCCGCAACGTTTTCCTCCCATGTGAAGAATTCCTGCATCTCATCATCTAAGTCTGTATCAATCCTGAAGCCCATGGACCGTATCCTATCTTCCTGCATCGACTCAATATCAGAACTACCTTCCCCGTACAGGTAAGGTACATTACAAGCTCATGGACCCTTTCTTTCAGTTCCTGTATACTGTTTGCTGCAATCCTTGCTTCTTTGCGACGGATTCTGTTCTCTTCCTTCAAAGTTTGCTTCAGCTCATCAATCTTTCTTATCAGCGGATGATCCTCGGGTGGCATTGCATCGATACCACTTTCTTGCGCAACCTGATGTTGACAGCTTCAGTTGACCCTTGATTCACACTACTCATGTACCTTCAACGTTTCGTTGGCAACCAGGTCACGAAGATCTTGACGGTTCTGAATCAAGTAACGCACAAGGAATTCTATGGGGTCGATCGGTTGTTTAACCAGGAGCTCTTCGATGGCTCCTTCCAGAAACGAAGATACCTTTGCTCGAGAATAGCTCTCAAGTCGAGTTCGTATTTCTTGGGCGGAAGGCATTTGAAAACTCTGTCAAGACATCACTCAGAAGTTGCGAACATCTGACCGCGGAAGAATCTCTTTCATTGAGGCTACAAAGAAATTTGAATCTCTTTCATTGAGGCTACAAAGAAATTTCTTCACTGCAACAAGGTCCTCGTTCCGAAGCACTCCACTTCTGGTTTTCATGGGCATATTCTCGACCTTGTGTGGCATATTCTAGACGTATCATCGTTTCTCCTCTCCCCTACCTCCTTCACCCTGCTCTTCCTATCGCTTCACTGCCATGTTAATTTCCAAGCCCACCTCAGAGAAATCAGTACGAGAATTCCAAGCCCACCTCAGACGAAATCGATTTTGATTACCCCTCCTTACAACCCCTTTCTTTACCCCTTCATCTCAGCTCTCAAGTACCCCCCATTGGAACAGCATAACTGGGGGTGGAGGGTTGGGGAGATCAAGACGGCCCTTCACGATGCTCTACCACATGTTAGCAATGCCGCGGGTCATGGCGACGATGCCAATGCTCTATGACCCTGCAAAGGACCCTCTATGGCCTGAGATTAAGGTGAAATACAACATTCGTCATTGAATGCTTTCTGTCTTGCTTATATTTCCTGTTCTAAGTGCTGTTCTGTTGGCAACCGCTTTTGCCCTCATAGTTCCCTACCTTTTGGTTGCTGTCTTCCTACAGTTGTGCTTAAGCTGCATCTGATCAGAGATTTTATCAAAGCAAGACAAGTTCTAGAATAGATGTTTGTGGTCGGTGACTGCTTTACCACCTTGCTCACACGGTTCCGGTTGCCTGATTACCCTCCTCTATTTTCTCACATCAGACTTTGAATTTCATGGAAAGTTTCATGGAAAGATGACTGGTTTGTGTTGATGTCCATATTCTGCCAAACAGTAATTTGGTATCTGAAAGCGATATGTGGTATGTCGGTCATGGGTGTTCTGATGGGTTTAATGTGAAAGTTTCTGCTGTCGTGGTAGAAATTCGATATTGTTCATTCTGTTGTGGTCGTGAAGTAGATGTAATGGACGACCCATTCAAGCACATTATCCGTGTTCAGAATCATAATTCTAGCACATTGTATGTGGTTTGACTCACATTCAAGGGCGACTTGTGAAGTCGTGATACTATTTCGATGCTTCAACCACTGAGCTATCAGGGCAACACGCTGACTGTTTGTGCAGGATGATCTTACGAGGGTTGGATGTGCTCAGGTAGATGGAATGCACGACATTTGCGTTTTCCAGGTTAACGAGAGACCATGATCGGGTTCATGTAATAAAGCAAAGGTTGCAGTGTATGCACACTGATGTCACGGAGGCTCGTAAACACTGAGAGCGATGTGGGGCAGCAAGAGAAAGTGCTCGAATGTTTCGATCATGATATAAGGAGCCTGATAATCCTCTACTACAAGATGATGGACTAGTCTGATTTGTAGGGGAGGATAGGTTCGTACCCATTTAGCTTCCAGATGTTGAAGATCAATACAGACGCGATGCTGAGCCAGAGGACGGAAGGCGCGAGGATCATGCCTGCAAGGGGGATGGTCTGCCAGTACAAGTAGGTGCAGGTCACAACAGAAGTCCACACGAACGCAACGCCAGCAACTGCTGAGCCTTTCCTTCGCTCCACGTTGTTGATGTTGTTCCACGTATCACCTGCGAGCACTCGCGTCAACGACTTTCGCAGCCTACTTCATTGATAAGACACGAGGCATTACCGATACTGAGATGAGTCATCATCGCGATGAGAGGAAGGACGAGCATCTGTCTGCCTACTGCCTCCCACACTACGACTGATGAAACTGTCCTCAAAATTCCGATGGTGCTCCATACAATAGGGAACACGATCGGTGGAGGTGTCCAGGATGGTCTCTTCGTCTCCTGCACTTCTCCCATCGTCGGTCTGGATGCATCAAGGATGGAGAAGATGCGCGACTTCAATGCCATGGAAGCGAAGAAGAGGATCGCAAGGCATTTGTAACCAATTGGTGGCAAGTACCCTCCGATAGTCTGCACAGCAAACATAGCAGCTGACAACAGGGCAACTTCTACAACAGTAGCACCAAACCATGTTCCCACCTTGGCATAGTCCACTCTCTTCTCCACGTTTCCGCCTTCACTCAGGGTCGCGCGGAGGTCAGACAAAAGATTCCTCGAAGCGCCTTGCCTCTGCAGTCTCGGCTTGCTCGGGACAGCAGAGGCGAGAGCGGAGGGAGGAGACACGAGCTTTAGACCTTGTACTGTCCTCATGCTCGGCATGGGTGCGAAGGCTTCGGCTACAGCAAGCGAAGCTGCCATGGCACAGAGTACTCGCGTCGCCATTGTCAAGCGGAGAGCTTGGGTTGTCTTATGCCTTGGTATTCAAAGGTGGGGTGGTTTCATAAGGGGTAGGTGGTATGAAATTTCCCCTCTTTGTAGGGGTAGAAAGATGATGATAAGGGGGTGGTAGTTGTGTAGCTGTAGGGTAGACAGCAACTCTCACCTGATGTGAGGGGTGGGGTGAGTGAGTCTGTGGCGCCATGGAGGTGGCGGCGGTGTTCACGGATGATGTGGTTCAGTCATGCGAGGACGAGCGGCTGATGGGAATCGTGGAGTATGTAGGGGGACAGAGCGATGATGACGATGATGAGGAAAGGGAGCCTCTTCCTCCGGGGAAGGCAGCGGTGACCTGGTACCCTCTGAACAAGCAGCCCAAGACTGAGGACGTCGAGAGTCTGAGGGTGATAGACCGAGGCTTCTTGCATCATGACATCGTTGCAAGGAAGTCTAATCCCTTCGGAGAGAACGGATACATCTCCAACGTCAAGCTGATATGCGATGTGAGATGCCTGCATACCGGCAAGGTTTACAAGGGCATAGACTCCTCAAAGCTGAGACCAGTACAGCCACTGAGGATCAACACGTACGTCACGCATAACAACTGGGTCGGGAAGATTGAAAACACTGCTGACCATCTGCTCTTGAAGTTTTCCAACGACTCCGTGTGCATGCTATTGAATGTCGAGGACGACCTTCTCCCACCCGTGGACTCTGTATACTCTAGCGACGACACCCCCTACTACCCTGGGCTCAGGGTCAAGACAACACCTCAGGTTCTTCGCAAAGCCTTTTGGATCAAAGGAAAGGCTTGTAACAAGCACAGTGAAGCTGTTGTTCTTGCTGTGAAGCCAGGTTCTTGCTGGATGCTTCCCCGAGGAAAACGTTTCTCACATTTTCGGCAGGCAAGACTGACGTCTTATGGATTTCGAACCCGTCGTTGAAGGATCTGTACAACCTCGATTGTCCTCCATACTCCATAGATGGGAACTTGTTGAAGGTGTTTGACACGATGCACCAACTTCCTCTCGCCAGTCTCATGGAATCTTGTTGTCAGGTCTTGGATGTCCTGACGAACAAGGAGTTCATGTTCGGAGACATAGCACTGTGTGACTTCATCACAGAAGCGGATGAAGGTATGTTGTTCTACAACACGTTAGTCGGTGCTGATGGCGATGCAATTAGAATCTGTTGCATCCGAGAAAGCGGGAAGTAAGAATGCTCCTCTGACGAGGAAGGTGAAGTCGGCTGGTCGCTCGTTTGCCATCAACAGCAGAGCTCAGAACGTCTTCTCTGACAAAGATCTTTCAAGAGGCGACATCGATCGGTGCGTAGAGATCATCTTCACGTACACATACACAGAGGTGACCTGGCAAAGTGGTACAGTCGAGAAGGGAATACCTTCCCTCGACCTTGTTCCAGTCTTCCATCTCAGCTCCAACATTCGATTTCCGAATGAGTTTGTCATCGAGAAGATAGATGATGATGTGTCTCTGCTCGACAGCGGTGCTTTGCTACTTCCCAATATCATGCACAATCCCTCCCTCCCAGCAGAGAACGGGACAGGCGCTTCGCATCCCCCTGCACTTGATGCGAGCTCTTCGATTTTCGGATTCAACGTCTCGGTCCCGGAGCAGTTGCATACCGACATGAACCAAGTGAGACAGCTTGTCATGGAGAAGCTTAGCAACTTCTTGCCACCCGAAGAATGGACAAGGTTCCAGGCAGTCTTGGACTCGGGGAATGTGAACGATTTGATGGCCATCATTGCCAACAACCATGGTATCTCAAGCATCTTCCGGAGAGAGATGTCATCGCCACAATGGCAGGATCTCATCCAAAACGAGCAGATGAAGGAATGCTTGCTCAGTGCACTGAAGAGCAGCGAGCATGACAATAGTTTCCTCCAAAACCTCAAGAGCAGGAGAAGACTGGGTGTCGTTCAGTCCATGGATAGCGCAGACAAGGTCTGCAAGGTGAAATGGATCGGCTACTGCTCCATCGATGGCCTCATAGAGACCTTGGGAGAAGCTGCCATACAGGAATTCAACGACTCTTCCTCGAGCTCTCGCAGTCTCCCGCCCCTGGAGACGACGGAGATCAGCTGCTACGACATCGTCCAGCATCCTTCCTATACATACGCGGTGGGGGACGTTGTTCTTCGACTTCGCAGCAAGCTCACAATGGACGGCTCTGCCACGAATCCGGAGCCTCAAGCTGTTGACGATGAGGATGAGTGGGAGACCACTTCGGAGTACAGTGAGGAAGAGGAAGGAGTGGGGGAAGGAGAGGAGGAGGAGGGAGACGAGGAGGGGGAGGAGGAGGGGGAGGAGCATGGGGAGGGAGCTCGTGATAGGCATGAAGCTGGTGCATTTGAAGAGATGCTTGGGGCTGCAGCATCGACGAATAAGCAGCAGACGGACGACAACATTTCATGGGTGGGCATCGCGATCGCGGTGGAGGATGGGAAGATCCTTGTTGCCTGGTCGAACGGAGAGACTTCGTGGATGATGCCCAACGCGATCTTTCGGATGAATGACGAGCATTATGACAGTGAGAGCTGGAGTGGGTCAGAAGCGGGTTCAAACTTGTCTCAGGCAGACGTCGAATATCAAGAGACGTCTCAAGCTGCCGCTGACGTGATGAGCAGCGTGGAGCAGATGAACAACTTCCTGGGGCAGACGCACCAGCAGGAGGAGGGTGTAGACTATGATGCGCAGGCATGGGAGGGAGCAGCAGCGCAAGGAGAGGAGAGAAATCTTGGGGGAAGTGCTGAGGTGGAGAAGCCGGATGCTGCTAGCAAGGAGAAAAGGAAGTTGACGTATGCGGGCGACGCAATCTCCTCCCTGTGGCGGGCGATCAGGAAGGAGATCGGGACTTTCTTTCATTCCTCCTCCTCAAAGAAGCAGAAGACTTCGCAAGGATTCCAGGCGTCGTCGAGAGAGGAGGAGGTGGTTGAAGAGGAGGAAGGTTTGATAGCAAGAGAGGAGGACGTGGCAGCTATGAATGGCTTGGAGGCTGAGCAAGCAGAGTGCGAGCAGCAGGTGAAGGAAATTGATTTAAACCGACTCACACGGGAGGAATTGGATGATGCTGCAAGAAGGATCGAGCAAGAGGCGTTGAGGAGAGTGGCAAGGGATCGAAGGAAGTATGACGAGAAGGAGGCTGAGAATGAGGAGCATGAGACGACGGAGGAGGCAGCCATTGAGAACCAGTTCGAGGTTGTAGAGACGCTGGCTGATCACCACTTTGCCCCCATGCCATCCAGCAACTTGCCCCAGCAGTTTGTGAAACGAGTTCGTCATGAGTGGAAACTGCTGAGCAGGAGGTGAGTGCGGGAGCGGTGGGGATGGGGCTATAAGCTGACGTCTGGCTGTCCGCAGTCTTCCTCCCGGCATCCACGTGAAAGTATCGGAGGAGAGGATGGATCTACTTCGTGCCATCATCCACGGGCCCACCAAGACTCCCTACGAGGACGGGCTGTATGCTTTCGACATCTTGCTCAGGTCACTTGACAGGCCTCGATCTTCTCAGCTGACCCTTCTCCTCCTCCTCCGCAGCCCCGACTATCCGACTGTCCCGCCCTCTGTTTTCTTCTTCTCCTTCGGCGACCGCTTGAACCCCAACCTCTACACGGATGGCAAAGTTTGCTTGAGCCTGCTGGGCACGTGGGACGGGGAGGGCGTCGAGAAGTGGAATGCTGAGACCTCGAACGTGCTTCAGGTCTTGGTCTCCATCCAGGCAAGCGCCCTCTCCTGTCAATCTTCCTTCTCTCCTTTCGTCTCCTCCACATTTATCTTCCTCCTCCTCATTCCTCCTTCTCGTCTTCTTCGTTTCTGTCTCTCCTGACCTCCTCGTCCTCGACTATCTCGCGCCCTGTGCTCTCGTTTGGCTCCTGGTCTGACTTGAGTGGCAGGGTCTTGTACTAGTGCCTGAGCCCTACTACAACGAGGCGGGGTACGACAAGCAGATTGGAACTTTAGAGGTAATTCCACCCTCGGGCTCAGCCCCAGCCGCTGCTGCAGCTTCTCGTTCAATTCCTCAGTCGCGCTTTCTGATCTTTCTCTCCTCATGTTCTTTGAGTGAGAGACATTGACCGTGATCGCAGGGGAAGCACAACTCGCAGGAGTACAACGAGTCTGCCCTGTTGCTCGTTCTGAAGCACATGCTCAACATGCTGAGGGCTCCCGTCCCCTCCTTCGAGGGGCTGATCAAGTCGCACTTCAAGGAGCGGCGCGACCGGATCCTTTCAAGGTGGCTCCTTGTCCTTCCGCCTTCCGCCAGCTGAGACTCGTGGTGTTCAGGTGCGAGAAGTTGCTCAACAAGGGGAGAGAAGAGCGAGCAAAGACAGCGAGCAAGGAGGAGGAGGACCCGTGCACTGGTTGGATAGATCGCAGCATCCCCGATAACCCGTGAGCAGCATACCCGCGCATCCTCCCCTCACTGACGAGAGTGACAGGTCGCGCGGTTTCATGCTGACGCTGCAGAAGCTCTGCACGAGGTTGAGAGCCGAACTGCCAACATGAATGGCGGGTAGAAGCAGTCGAAGAAGGGGAGCAGGAGCAGGCAAGCATGGAGGAGAGTAGAGCCGATGAACTTCTGCGGGAGGGGAGATTCTTGACTGTAGAATTTATTGAAAACAACCACGAAGCATCTCGTCCCTCATGGAGCTGCCGATGAGACTGAGCGCAGGGGAGGGAGACGTCGACTTGTGTTAGCACTCTCGATCGATCCTCGCAGGGAGGAGCATGACCGTCAACAAGTGCAGGAGGAAGAGGAACAAGAGCAGGAGGAAGAGGAACAAGATCAGCAGGGGGAGGGCGGAGGGCTCGCAGCGAGCCTAGTAAGAGCTGAGTAGGGCCTCACTGCATTGAAGGATGCTGGGAGGTTTTCCAGCTCACAAAGTCCTGTTCGATCTGCGACATCGGGTACCTTCCCATGCCGCTCTCGCTGCCCCCGTCCACCCCTGTTGCATGCCCATCCCTTCCTCTTGAGTACTGCAACTCCATCCCCTGCCGCTCCGCCATGACCGACGCCATGGGATCCACACCTGACAGGCCGCTGCTGTGCTCTTGCGACAGACCTCTCCCGACAGCGACGGCAGGGCTCGCGGCCACCTGCCCAAGGTTGACGCTGCCATGGCGAAAACTCGTTTGAGGCTGGACGGGCTGGACGGGCATGTTGGTGAGCGGGTTGTTGGGCTGGGAGGACAGCCAAGTGCAGATGACATCGACCTTGTGCAGGACCTGGGACAGCTGCGTGCGGATCTCCTGCAGCTGCGAGTCGACTGCCTCAGGTGGCTCCATGCTCACAGCTTTCTCCCTCTTGTTCGAGTTGCTCAGGCCATGGCGGCCGCACCATCGCCAGTGCCACCCGTTGGTCGCCTTGAAGTCGGTGATGCCCATCTCCTTGGCGAGGTCCTCAGCTTTGCACTGCAGCTTGTGTTTCGTGATGCACATATCTCCGTCCTTGTCGTTGGCTGCTCGCTTGCGGACGTTGGCGATCCATGTAAGGAGCCTCTTGGTCAGCTCGGGGTGTGTCTCGTCGCGCATCATCTTCGACCCACCCAGATCTCTTCCAAGCTCTCTCACCTCCTCCATCTTCCCTCGGTGCTTGTCAGAGCAGATCTTGCTGATCGCCCTCTCGCTGACGCCATAGGTGAGCGCGAGCTTCTTCACCGTCACTCTGTCTGCCTTGGACGGAGCGCAATGGAGTCGCACTATCTCCATCTTGTCTGCGATGGTCAATCTCTTCGCCCCCGAACACTTCTCTTTGTGCTTCAACCGTTGAGCCGCCGTCATAACTCCGAACCCTCGGGGTTTCCCTCGAGACTCAGGCATGTTCGCGTCTCCCTGCAGTTGATCCAGCCCTCCATCAGCCTGCATCTGATCTGCTCGCACCCTCGTCACCCACCAACAACATACCAGCTCCACTACTTGCCTGCAGCGTGCACTGAGTCGTCTGCTGTGACTCTAGAAGCTTCATCCTGCCATGACATGTCAATGACAGCCGGCAATCAAGTCCAAGAGACCGCTCCTCACCTGTGAAGATCGAAATCTTGCACTCAAGGCATGAGGAGAAGGGTGCAGGGAGTCCATGGAGTCCATTCTGAGGGAGAAAAAAGTCACTAACCGTCACATGATAAATCTCTAAGGGAAACAACTGTGAAGGACTCTAGCCCCCTTCCCATCTTTCCTCTACCCATAGAACCCCCTCTATGTGATCCCTCGCTGCGTTGTTTCTCAAGATTCTGATCCTCAAACCGTTGCTCCCCCCAACCTGTGTATGTCTGTTCGTTCCTCTATGAAAAGTTCATTCCTTCGCATTCGTCCCAGTTCACCCACAGCACATTTGCTGTCATTCTCTGCTGTGATGCCTCTGCCTTCTCTCTCCCTGCCTGCACTTGTCTCCTCTCTCCTCGTTCTCCTCGCCTCCTCTCCCCTGACATTGTTCAACGATTTTACTTCAATTGAAAAAATATATAAAAAGGGTGGTACAGTGGTTGAACCTACAGCTTCCAATATTATTTATATGAGTACTTTAGTACGGATGAGACATACAAAATATTTCAGTCATATATTTAAATATCTATAATAGAGGAAGTTATTTTTGAATGGTACTCCTAATCAGTACAAAAGTGTTTTATAAATATGTAGTGGTAATATAGGATTTCGCCATGGTGGGGCGCAAGAGGGAATGGGAACATGAAAGATCAAGAGAGAGGGGGAAGGAGGGGAGAGGAGGGGAAGGAGGGGAGGGAGGGAGAAGAGCGAAGAGGAAACAGGAAGCAGGAAATATTGACGGGTGAAAGGTGGTACAGCAGACATGGACAAGGGTGAGGAAATAGGCAGATTGCAGGGGGGTGAGAGAAATTGTACGAGGAAAAGAAGGAAGCCAAAAATCAGAATCGATTCTGGTTGATGGCTGATAAGGTGACTGACATAACTTTGCAGTGCAAATTCTGTGTTCCGACAACTTCGTTGCACAATGCTTGTGCGCAGCAGCTTACCGGCGATCCTGTTGACATGCTTAATTGCACGAGGGAACGCGTGGAGCTATGCACCGACCAGCGGGTTCAGGTGTCTGTTTCAGCCTGCATCAACACGCACACAAAAAGGGTTAGCTTCCTTCACGTGCTGTCAGAGCTCGATGTCGTCTGAGGATGTGACGTCTGAGGAGGAGCCATCAGACCTTACCAGTGCAAATCCATCGACGCGTGCGAGGGTTGTTTCTTACAATGTTCTTTCTTCATCACTGTGTGAATCGGATTATCACGTCAAGTGTAAACCTTCGAATTTAGATGAGCAGAAGAGGTTGAAGAAAGTCATCAACCTGCTAGATGAAGAGGTGGAGAAACAGTCAATCATCTGTCTACAGGAGGTTTCGACCAAGTGGGCAGGTTCGCTACATACCTTCTTCTGTGAACAGGGATATCACATGATACACATGGGGTATGGCAACAAGTTTGATGGCTACATGGGCGTCAGCATCTCCTTTCCAACGACAAAATTTCGACTGAAGGAGAGCAGAATCGTAAGAGTTTCAGACCTCAAGTCATGGCCGAAGCCTCCCCCAGAAAATCCTTTCAAGAGGCTGAAGGGGGCAGTCAAGAGCCTCTGGTGGAAGATCCGACAGATTCGACCTCCCATAGATCCTGTTTTTGACGCAAAGAAGCGAGCGAATCAAATGATTGTTTTGAACATCGAGGACAGAGAGACTGAGACTTCGTTCTGGGTTGCAACCTATCACATGCCCTGCCAGTTTCGCGTTCCAGCAGTGATGGTCACTCACACCTCTCTGGCGCTGAGTGAAGCGCAGCTCGCAGCTCGCAACCAGCCTCTCATCTTCTGTGGAGATTTCAACTTCAAGCCGGGAGACTCTCCTTACAACCTTGTCACGCAGGGCTTCATAGCGAAGGATGACCAGCACTACCCCACAATGCCTGCTAACGACCCGTGGGTTCCGAAGATCAGGTACGCCATGAAGAGCGCATATCACCTCTTGAACAACAAGGAGCCGCAATACACAAACTGGGCTTACACAAAAGGGAGCACAGAAGATTTCATCGGGTGCCTTGACTACGTATTCGTGTCACCGGGAATTTCAGTGGAAGCGGTGAAGGAGTTGGAGGAAATTTCAGATCCTCCTCAAGGTCCCTTTCCCTCCGACACCGAGCCGTCAGACCACGTGCTGATAGCTGCAGACCTCAGCATTGTCCACGAGGGGAACACCGGATGGACTGAACAGGACGAGATCTGGAAGAGACAGATTGAAGATAAACTGACGAAACTTTTGAAGGATGAGAAGGGGGAAAAGATCAGATTTCCATCTTCGTTGAACTCCTTCCAGAGGCACTATATTCATCAATTTGCAGCAGAGATTGGGTTGGAAAGCAAATCTTCGGGGCAAGGGAGGTGAGATTTAGACCGAATGTGTCATTAGATTCACTGCTGAGTCTTCCGCAACAGGAGGAGGCAAATATCAGTCTGGAAGCAAGCTCGGTCAGAGGGATAAACGAAACTAGCAAACGTGACAAAATGAGATGATTCGGAACTTTGCTTCATTGGCCCCTCCATCATGTCACGCCGCGTCGGTGCCGTGTCAAACTAACTTCCGTTCCCTGTGATCCGGACTCGTGAGCCTGTGCCGCCGGCCGGCCACTCACAGCGCCGGCCCCCGGGCCCGGTCCGGCGACACTCAGAGGCGGGTCCAACAATGAGCCGCCGGCCGGAAGTTCCGCCCAATCGGATGATCGTCGGACGACCTTTCAAGACCATTTTAGAATAGAATCCATGAAAATCTCCTCCCAAACTTGAAAATACAATAGAAGCCCTTGTCGTCGCCTGTGGCGTCGGAGCCTAGGTGGACGACCCTAGGGAGCCTGAAGGGGTCACCTGAGGTCTGAAAGGGGTAGGGTAGTTGATAAAGGATCTCAGAGGGGTAGTGTGTAGGTGATTTAGGAATGAGGGGTAGTGTTCGGGTCTTGCTGTCATCGGGAATGAGAGGGGTGGGGTGGTGCTTTCACCTCCAAGTCCGAGGTACCAGTAGGGGTGATCTGTACGGGAGGGAGCAGGGGTACAGGTTGCTTTCAGCTGGTACCGACAAGTAGTTATCCGAAGTTTTTGGTAGTGAACATATAATACTTTTTATTCCGCCTGTTTGAGTTCTGCGGAGCCGTCCCAGCGTGGGGCGAAGGTGGGGTCCTCAGCATGCCCGTCATGGGTAGTAGGTTTGAAATACAAGGTCTAAATATCAAGAATCTACCAATTGTACTGGCCCGTATGAATTTTTATAACTTTTGTATATACATTGATACAAGTAAGTAGGCAATAAAAATATACAAGTTTTTATCTAATAACCAGTAGTACATCGGGACATATAATCGATTCTACCAGTGTCGAAGGTAAGATTTACCAGACCAGGTGATCAAATTCCATTTTTCTGATCTTTCTCAAAGATTGAATGAATTTAGGCCATTAAGGCCAAGTCACAATGGTATTTTCAAAACTTTATCAGATTTTTCGTGAAACACAGCTGAAATGAAGGACCCTTGGTCGCAAATCGAGAACAAAAACTCAAAAGAAAAGGAATGGAAATGGCGGCACCGACGCAGCCCTGAGCTTGCGACACAGACACGAAGAGATGGCACATGAGCCAGCAGCAGCAGACAAGCAGCGGATGAGCAGAAGTAGCAGACAGACAGCAGACAGACAGCAGACCAAAAGGGACAAGCAGCTATCAAACAGCAACAGCAGTAGCAGTAGCAGTAGCAGCGATGGAAGCAGGATTAGGAGAGGAAGGGAGCTCGCTCGGGCCTAGGCTTATTTGTATGGCGGAGCTGCCCAAAGGGTTTGAAGATAGATATGAACATTTGATGTGCATGTCGTCGGTGCTGGAAAGGAAGAAGAGAAGTAGAACATGCAGATGTTATGTGTGCGGATGTTGACAGACTTGGAACTAAAAAGTTAAACAAGATGTCACAACAATTCGTGGCGGTGTATGCCTGTTTCCTTTCTTGTTGTCTGTGGATCAATGGAGATGTTTTTGTCGATGATCCAAGTGAAAATAGTGTTGGAAAGCTCTCTGAGATACGTCTAACAATTTTTCCAGGAGCTAGTTTGCCATCGAATATTAGTCTAACGCTTGGGATATGATGACTGTTTGAAGGAACGAGAGTGCATTCAGACGAATAGAAGATGGATGCCAACGAAATCAATGAAAACTCCGAAATCGGTCGGCTTGGAGGTGTGAAAGCATTGCTGAAGCAAATCAACAACAAATATTCAGACTCTCACGTACAGCTCCCTGATGGAACTGTTCCCAACCCAAAAACAAAACCTCAGATTGCGAAGTCGAAGAAGAAAGGTGCAGAGAACGATGTGAAGAGTTCGGAAAACAATCTTGAAAACAATTCGAATGAAGCAGCTGCAGATGGTAACGGTGTCAAAGCCATGTTGAAGGAAATCAATTCCAAGTTCTCAAATTCTTTTGTACAGCTTCCTGATGGAAGCATTCCGACTAAGCAAGCAGCTGTTTCCAAAGCGTCAACATCAGGTCAAGATGAAGAAGACATTGCAACTGAAATCCCACACATTCAAGTAGATCCTGTGAGCATCCCTGAGAATTTAGCAGACGAACTGCAGGTCTCTTACTCAAACAGTGAGCCCAGCAAGACCATGCTTGACGATATGAATGTCATGTCCGATTATCCCACCAACTCAAACTTGTCGTCAGCATCAACGCAGCCCTCGAACGTTGGAGAACCTCCCAAACTTCTTTCAGATTATCCAGAGCACCAACCGCACAGCTTTCGTGTTCAAATGCAAGTCAGACAAACTCCGGTGATGCCGCCTCATCCACATGTCAACATGGTCCCGCGATCCAACTATCACATGAGCCACGGCAATCCATCGATGCCCAACGGTTATGCAGGTCAAAGTGCAGGTGCACAGGTACCCGTGTCTCTTCCGAGAGCACAGGTCCCAACCTCATCCCTGAGGGTGCAAAGTGCTCATGACGTACCTTTTGACGTTGTGAAACGCAGCAGCACTTCGAATGGCATCTCGCAAGGTTATCCGTCACAACTCCACAAGTCACAAGGACACTCCTCTCAACAATCTACTCAATCCCAACTGACTATCAATCGAAGTGCATACTCCCGGATTCAGCAGGGTGATCATTCTTCGATAGGTAACAACTCGTGCTTCATCATGCAGAGGTTGATCGATCTTTGCTTCAGGAATGTTGGAACCCTATCAGGGACCCAACAATCCGTACCGAAGCGACAATGTGCATTCAGACTACGAGTATATCATGAATGGAACAGAAAACTTGATGAGGGCTCGACCCGATCGACAAGATTCTTCCATTGGCTACGAAACTCCAAGGTGCTCGGTTGCTTTCATTCCATTCACTTCCTTTTGACCTTTCCTTCCAGAATGAGAACTGATCCCAGATACGAACAACAATACAACGCCATGCCGAATCCTGCAATGTCGAACCCTGCAATGTCGAACCCTGCAATGTCGAATCCTGCAATGTCGAATCCTGCAATGTCGAATGCTATAATGCCAACTGCTGCAATGCCGACTTCTGCACTGCCTCCGATGAAGGTCGCGGCGCCCATGATGAAGGTGGGTTGTTGATGGCATGCTAGTGCATCTGACTTGTTCCTTGCAGGAAGCAATTCGTGAGCCTGCTGTTCCTATCACCGAACCTGGAGAGCCAATAGTGTCGAGCCTGCCGTCTACGATAAGGAGCGACAAGATGAGATGTGGCATAGGGGTGAATTTCAAGCGGCTGCAAAGCGGCTGCTACGAGGTCAGCGTCTTCTGCTCTCGATGCTTCGACGTTGATGTTTCTGTGGTATGCAGGTGATCAGTCTAGTGCCGGGAGGCGCGGGGGAGGAGAGTGGTTTGGTTTTTGTAGGAGATGTCCTGCGATTCGTCGATGGGGTGGACGTGACAAATTGCACAGCCGAGGACCTGCACGAGACTCTGCTGGGGCTGGAGGGCACCAACGTGACTCTCTCTTTCGGCAAGCCAGGCGATGAGTACGACGACTCTCTTGTGCATGTTGCGGTGACGCGAAGCGTCGGAGCCTCCAGCAGGGAGTCAGCAAAGCCCGTAGATTCATCCTCTCCCACTGTTCCGCGTGTTCTCGTGCCCAAAGTGATACAAGCAAGACCGCTGAATGTCTCAGGAAGGTGGAATGGACCGCAAGACGACGGCCTCTATGACTCTTCCGGTGGGAATTCGCACAGCTCGTCCAAGTGGGAGAAACCGTTTTCAGAGAGCTCGACTGCAGATGAAGACAAGCAGGTGGGGGTGGGAATCGTCTTTTTCACCGATGATGTTGGGGGTTTGCGGGTCAAGAAATTGGCGCCCGGCGGTCCAGCAGAAGAAGCAGGAGGCATCTACCCCGGGGACGTCCTGTTCGAGGTGGACGGGATCGACGTGTACAAGTTGGCGATCAGTGAGGTCCAGGGCCTTGTCATCGGCCCACTCAACACTTCGGTAGTGCTCGGGCTGCGGGAGGATCACAACATCGACTACCCGCTCAGAAAGATCAAACTGACCAGACGATGGAGCCCGGGCCACACGTCAGAGAATAAAGTCCTGGGCATCCGCAACTGGCGGCAGGAGATCATGGAGCATCTATTGATCAAGATAACAGACACATTGTTTATCGGGACTTACGAGACAGCAAAGCAGCGGGAGCTGCTGCGGGAGAACGGAATAGATTGCATCCTCAACGTGGCTGCAGAGTGTGAAAACTTCTTTGAGACGGAGTTCAACTACACTAGAATGCCGTTCGAGGACAGGGAGAACGAGTACATCCGGCGAGGGTTCGACGACGCCTCTGAGATCATCTTCAAGTACAGCGTCCTCGGTTTCACCATCATGATTCATTGTACAGCAAACCGAAGCCGGAGCAGCACCGTCTGCATCGCCTACCTGATGAAGAAGAAGGGATACTCCCTCCGTCGGGCCTGGGAGACGCTGAAGAATCTGGACATCAACCTGAGCTGGAACCGCAACTTCTTCTTACAGCTCGTGCAGTATGAGCTCGAAATCTATGGGTCTAACAGCCTGGTGGCCGAGGACTTTGACCTACTTAGGCTGCAGAGATGAAGACAAGGTGGAGCAAGCGTGTTGGTCGTTCACACCTCCATGAATTGTTTACTGCTTGTCACGAGGGAGTAGCTTCTAGTCTTTGAACATTCCTGCAAGACCTTCAAGGCGCTTGGTGAAGTCCGGGTGCTTGCGCTGGCGTACGAGTCACGTTGACGAAAAATTAAAGTCACCTCACCTTGAGCATCTGCAGACACATCTTCTTGAACAACAGATCGAGCTGAACCTGTGAAGAGCCCTGGAGCAAGAGTTTCAAAGGGCGAGGTGATTCAAAGTCAGACTCACGTTTCTTGCAAGGCTCATGAAAGATGTTCCAACTGGCGTCGCTTTTAGCCGCATGCAAATCTGTCGAAACTCGTCAGAACCAGCATCGCCCTGGTGAAGCTCCTGACCTGATCGTACATGAGCTTCGGATCTTGTACCCCGACCCGCTCTTGCTCATTGGCAAGTACACCTTCAATCATGTCAGTCCTCTCCATGGGACGTGATGATGTGTTCTCTTGCCTGAGACCTCCCGGTTGATAACATCTGACATGCACCATTTCTTCATCATCTCTCCCTCCTTGTGTATGAAACATCTCCAGTTCTGGAGAGAGTTCTCCACAGACACCCTGACCACGCACAGTCACAGCTGGTTTAATACCTTCCATCCCCTCACTTGATGGAAATCAGCTTGTCCACGCTATGTGCATCTCGACCCGATCCCTCCTGCATCTGCATACACGTCAACAGTCTACAATCCCAAGGCAGTGAGAGTGACATGTTTGTCGATCCGGCGCAGAAGTTGATCGATCAAGTTGTAGGGGACATATCTGAATCCCAGAAGTGTCAGCCATGATTCTATATGACGCATGCAAGTGTACCGATTCTTCGAGATGTCCATTTCAAGACAATCTTCCAGCGTGGTGACTTCATAATTTGCATATGAGTTTGAAGTTTCTAGACATTCGATGATCTTTGAAAACCAGAAGCTTCAGCACATCGCACGGAGGTAGACGCGAGATACCAAGTTAGCAGCTTCATCCAATCTGTCGTATCGCAAGAAAAGCCGCAGCAATCCACAAGTGTCGGTCTTGGGAGTGTCAAAACGGACCTTCTCACGCGAAGGCCCTGGAGGGAACAGTCAAACTCTTGAATGGCTCTGATGTCAAATACGGTCGTTCGATCTTCCAACTTTCATTCCCATCTTCAACCATGGAGGAAGGGAAAACTCAACTCCAGACTTCCGCAATAACGCTTCTCCTGCCACCCGGTGCAAGAAGCCATGAGCATGCGTATCCAATGAAGTTCTCTTGGTCTGCACTGCAAGTTCAGGAAGGCAAAGAAGACAAAGCAAGAAAACCTCTCCTTTCCAACTTTCGGTCGTGTCAAACGTCTCCAAGAAGCATCTCAATGTGTCCCATGGGCTCTTACTCTGTCCTTCTTCATCCCTGTAGCTAGAATGGGGAGATTGTTAAGTGGCGGTCAAAAATCTTCACGTGCAGCCCACCTGCTAGTTTGTGAAGGTAGACAGCTCTCAGCCAACTTCTGGCAGAGCTCCATGTTATCCAGTTCAAAGTGTTCCGACAGTGTGATGGCATCTTCCAAAAGCCCGTTTTCAATCAGCTCCATTGCCGATTCCTTCGCCATGCTCTGAGATAGGAAGTCACAAACTCTTCACCAAGAGGAACAAAGCAGATCTAACATTCTGCCGGGAGGGGAAGATGTGAACGATCCTCTGAGATCGTTCTTTCTTGAGATCAGCCAACTTGATTCTGCCACAGACCAAGAATCATTCGAAACGAAATGCCTTTCAACCGCAAGGACAAACCTGCATCTTAGCAGAACGTAGAATTTCTTAAGAACCTCAAGGCTGATACAACCGGAGGGAAATCTCCAGTTGTCGTCGATAATTTCTTCATCTTGTTTGCCTTCACCCTGTCTCTGCGACTCTGATGCCTCTCCATCGTTGACCTGATTCACCTCCCACCCTTGGTTTGTGCCGTTGGGGAACCTTGTGATCTTTGTGACTTCCCACTCATGCTTCTCGCCCAGAGGAAACATCGCTCTCTTCTTGTTCCACTGGCTCGGGGGAATCCAGTAGGCGAACTTCTCGTCGATCAGGTTGTAGGCATTGATTGCTGCAAGGCAGGTGTTCTGCTGCTTCTTGAGATCCTCCACTGTTGTGAAATTCCCATGTCGCGCATTCGCCTCGATGGAGTTATACAAGTAGATCAACATGGTTTCACCAGCTGCTCGATAATCACTTCTCGCAATGTTGTACGAGTATCTAGCGAAGTACAGTGCATCCACGTCTGCTTGACTTCCTTGTTGTCTCAACAGTGTGTCTACTGTGTTACCACAACCTACCCAGGGGTATGAACACAACTTATCCATCCGCTTTCGAACCATGAAGAGCTCTGAGTTGGGCCCTGTGATGAAAGTGTGGAGGCAGCGATATCCGGTCTGCTGCCTTCGGTCTTCGGCGCGAGATAGAATGACTTCGTGCAGGTTCAAATCGATTGCTTGCATCTTGAACCATGTAGAAAGGTCAGAGATCTCGTCTTGCTGAAGATTGGAATCTATCTCTTCAAGCCTAGATATGTCACGATCCTGGCAGTCCACCAGTCGGTCCGAAATCAAGCGGTATGCTTCATCCATCTTTTCATTGGCAAGGAAGATGTCCAACAGCATGAGGCGACGACGGTCAAACGTGCATTGGAGGAGATACAAGAAAGCGACGAGGACAACATAATTTTCTCGGCTCAAGTCTGGGTGCTGTAGGTATTCTAGAACGATGTCTTCTATCCTCTTGACGTGCTCCATGCTGTATCCAATCAGCCGACAGATGTAATCTGAGATGCTGTTGAAGGGATCTGAAGCATCAGAGTGTCTTGCGTGTGATGCTGAAGTTGTATGTCTGATCTTTTGCGATGTGTCGATTAAGAATTCAAAAATGCCAAAGTTCTTGTCATGGAAACAGAAGAACATTTCGAGAAGATCCTTGATCTGCAGGATCACATCACAAATATGCTAATGAAGACTTTGAGCAAAATCTTACCTCTTTCATTGACTCTGAAGTGACAAAACCAGAGAGAGTTCCCCTCAGATCATTGAGTTCCATTGTCATCGAGTCCTGCAGGATCAAATCCGAATTCGATTCCCAAAACAAGTTCAACGGGTGCCTGCGAAAGTTTTTCCATTCTGCAAGGCAATCATGTGACACAGACTGTATACAGCTGATTGACTGATTCCATTCTTTGGCGTATAAACAACAAATTGATTGTACAAATTTGGTTGAGCAGTTGTTCCGGGATCGAAAGTTCAAAATATTCGGCATTTTACAAAAAGCCTTGATGTCATCCCAGGTACTTTCTCGTCCTGTCATAACCTCTCTGCAAACAAGATATCAGTACTCAACACATGTCATGGCACAGGCGGGTACCCGTCGAAGGAGGATGAGAAGACGGTCCGATACATGCTCTGTAGTAGAACGTTGCTTGAAGGCGAAGCAACGTACGCCAACAACGACAAATCTCCATCAATCTTTTCGCAAGAATCGCTCAAAAATTGACTATAATTGATGCTGAAATGCAAGAAGCTCTTGAAAATCGGAGATCCTCCTACAAAGATTTAAAACATTGACTAAGAAGCCAATCGGAATACCTGAGAACCATTTACGCGAAGAACACCATCGCAAGATGTGGTACTCCACGAGGAGAGGCAAGACCTTTTCATGCAGCAGATTTGAAATATCGGCTGATTCATGACACCCCGTGGCTTTGCAGTGGTAGTCGAGCATTGCAAACAAAAGAGCAATCGACCTCAAAACTTCGTGGTTGGTTGTCACAATCTGCAAGGCAATTCAAATCTAAGTATGGTCATCACATTGACTACCTGTTCAACTGATTGCTCAAGTACAGATTGCATCCATCGTGAAAAAATACCATCAGTGCTGTCGGACGGTGGACTTTTCTCTCGTGCGAAGGATTTGAGAAGTTCCAATTGATTCTCAAACGAAATGCTCAACTTGGATGGATGCGAAGCATCGCTGCCTAACTTCAAAATTTCTGGGAAGTGACCCAAAATTTCAGCAGGATCACACCAGCTGATGCTTGGACCAGAGCTTGAGAGCAAAAGATGCAAACAATCCTGGAGAGCCACGTCGGCCTTCTTGTGCAACATCTGGTTGGTAAATATTGCTCCTCCAGGATCCGATTCCTCCGCCCAGATGAGCATTTTGTAACCCAGCCAGAGGCACCCACTGTCGGAGTCAGCAACATTGCTTAGAAGGTTATCTTCAATCCCTGACATCTCGTATTCATCACGGTCACCAACTGTGGAAGACAAGGCCTCTTCTGCTTCTGCAACAACACGAGAGAAGTCATGCTCAGAGCCGTCGGCGATTCGGATCAAAGAAATTGTATCCTTCCTGATGAGCACAGTGTTCGAAAAGAAACCAGGAACATGAAGGTATCTTGCATTGATGACTCCAAATCCTGCACATGGTTGACACTCAACCTTCCATGTCTGAACGCAGTTTTCCAGGTATGTCTGCCAGACATCCTCTAACTCAAATCCAGAACCTTGGGCTATTATTGCTGTTTCTTCTAAGGATTTCTTCACAAAAACATGGATGCTACTTTCCGAATCCAGGGGTTTCGGCCATGCTAAAGAAGGCTGTGAGATAGAATTAAATTTCTCGTTCGTATGGCGCAAGGCAAGGAGAAGAACATTGCCGGAAAACCTCTGAGGATGGAGAACAATGTCTTCGATCATTTTAGCAGGGTTCTGGATTTGTTTTTTGAGAGAATGATTTAGTGTATTGCCAGATTGCCATTTAGAAATGTACATATTTGCTAGGGCCGATTGTGATTGAATCTCTAGGGATTGTGTGTAAACCTTTTCAGTCAACCACTTGTTTCCATCGAAAAACGTCGCACACGTCACAGTCGCATCTTGTCCACTCCATGCCGTGAACAGCACTTCCTGATCCTGTACCCTGCCAACAGAGATGCTCTCCAAATTACATCGACTGCTTTCTTGAAAGAAATCGATGTTCTTTTTGACGAAATTGAGAGTTTCTTCCATTCTGCTCCTTTCCGGTTTGAAGTCAATCACTCTGTCTAAGTTACAGCAAAGTAGGTCGCATCGCTGTTCAGAGTCTTCAGATCGCAAAGCGAAAACAACCTTCTCTTTTTCACACAGCACCACAAAGTCAAACGCTTGGAGCGAAATCTTTTGTCCTTCTTCGTCCATTTCTAATTTGACGACCTTCTCACCGTCTAGCTTCCCGGACGAAGAATGCCATCGTTTCAATTTCCCGTCCTCCGACAGGGTCAGGAGGATCTCACTCTGACCCACTGCTCGTACACAACAAATGCGCGAGGCGAGCCCGCTCGATTTTGAAGGGCTTCGGAAGAGACTGAATCCAGACGAGTTTTGCTTCAACTCGTGCTTGACCCTCACATTCCCGCTATCAGTCACTACAAGATTCAAAGTCAACCCTGCATTCGTTCCCAGATAGATTTCCAAGTCATTGCAAACTAATCTGGCATCACAGCATAGAACTTGTTGGCCCTCTTTGGATTCAAACGTCTTTGCCGATAGAGGATTTGAGGTCTTGTTGATGAGTCTGCTTACCGCAGCCTCTGTTGAGCCTTCCAACGTAATGCAGTTCTTCAGCCAAGCGATTCTTACTCCAGTCAAAGTGACAACGGCGATGACAAGATCGTAAACGTCTGGCTCAAAAAACACTTCACAGAAATGATGGGCTCAGGGAAATAAATCCTCAGCATCGCATTCTGCAGTTCCACTTCGGTAGACAACTCCACTAACTGCAGGCATTGTCTACCCTCGCAGGAAGAAACCCTCCTACACCAAGGATTAGCCTCGTTCGCTACAATCGATCATGAAGATTACCAAGAAAGGATTCTTTCAGGTCCTAAGCTTATGGCGGACCCAAACAGTTCGTCGCTCTGAATCTTCTGTCCTCTCGATAAGTCGACGTCGGCCCATGCCCCTGACAAGGGCACAGGAACTTCTCGCAATATGGGTAGGGAGCTCATGGTTGCAAATGGCTTCAGAGCTTGCAATGCGAACCTCTATAGTAAAGATGCTAAAAATGGCCGTTCAGCATCTGCAACACGCAAAAGTCAGCGAGTAGATGGAAATCTTTTGGTTTTCCACTATCTGAACATTCCTCCGGAGAAGGATCTTGTTGGATGAGATTGAGATATACCAACAAAGAATGAAAGGAAAACAAATACATTCAAACCAAGACAAAGATGTACAAGATGCCGTGAAGACCCTATCATTCGCATCACTCTCTGAGCGAACTATCAAAAAACAACGAAGCGGATTCATGTTCATTCCAGCAAGGCGGGAAGATCACAGGGGGAAACAAAGATCAAGTTACGAGACTGAACAGTGAGGGTGCTGATGGTATTGGAGATGTTGAGGGATCAAGGCAGCAGAGGCCTGGAGGGCAGGACCGATCTGTCCTCGCATTGCAAGTTCCATGGCGGAGGAGGATTGTTGGACATGGGCGGGAAAGACGCAGTTAAAGGGGGTTGGAGCGAGGGGGTGGGGTCGACTGTATAAGATGGAGCATGGGGTGTGGACCCCCAAGGGTGGGTGGACATAATATGACTAAGGGGTGGGTATACTATGAATAATTGAGGTTTCAAGGGAGGTGGGGTGTTTGATACCACCGGTGGTGGAAAACTATGGATTTCCTTTCTGAGAAAGGGGGTTGGTGATGTAGGTAGGGTGGGTGATCTATAATCACTTTGCAAGGGGTAGACAATATAAGTGGGTAGGTAGGGTGGTAGATCCTTATAATATCTTCAGTCAACTTGCACGCATGCGAGGTGGTTAGAGCGGGGATGAGGGTTAATTTTCATTTTGTGGAGGGGTCTCCAGAAGCACCAGCGTTTCAAAAGACCCTGAATATATTTATCTTATTACTGATGTAAAACTTATGTATCTAAAATTTGATAAAGAAATTTTTGTTAAGTAAACTTTGTGTAAAAGAGAGGTTCAGTGACAAACCCAAAGCTACCCCGCTGTGGAAAAGGAAGTGTTTTTCCCTCCTCCTCCTGAAGGGAAGGGATCGTTGACACTAGTCGGTTCGTCCTCCTCTCCCTTCCCCATCTCTCACCGTCTTCCTCTCAGCCTTGCTTCGTCTGCCTCTTCCTGACGAACAGGCGATGGGAAACACGGACTCGAAGGACACCCCGCAGCAACCAGGAGCTGCAGCCTCAAAGCCGCAGGCATGGAACGCTGCGGATAAGAACATTCGGCTAGAGCTTGACATCCAGAAGGAGAAGATGGGCAAACTAATTGGGACAGGGGGCAAGACTATTCAGCTTATCCAACAAAAGGTCAGTACCATTCAGATGAAGACGCCATCGAAAGAGGATACAGGGAATGACGAATTCAAGTTCGTCCCTGTTCAATTGCAGGGGAGGGCACAAGACGTCTTCAAGGCTGCCCAGATGGTGGATGAGGTTGCAACGGCATGTCTTGCAGTGCTTTCTGCGACTGTTTCACCACAACAAGTCAGCCTCCTGCAGCGAGAGAGCATCCTGAATATGCAGAAAGAAATCCCTATTGACACTCTTCGATTACCGAAGAAGACTGACAAGCCTCCGAGAGTAGTCATCGAGGGATATTTGGAAGACGTGAAGGATGCATATCATTTCATTATCAAAGAAGTAGAAATCGCTGCCAAGGAAGTACAAGAAGAGAGGGAGAACATGAAGCTGATGCAAATCAGAAATCATCGTATGGGATCTGAAGATTCAAATGAAAGCGGGCAAGATGGGAAGAAGAAGGCGGGAAGGGACAACAGTAAGATGCAACCAAAGCGAGCTGCTTACCGACAAGAGGATGACCAAAAGGCATCTTTGAGAGACAGAGGTGAGCTCAATTCTGACCTTTTTATGCATTGCAAAGGCACGGTAGCTGATTGACATTGCAGACAACCAGCCCAACAATGATGATGATTCCAGTGCCCCCGAGCAGAGCATCCAAGATGCAGCGTTGTCATCACTGGATCATGAGCAATGAAAGATCTCTCACAACGAAATATTCGAATTTAGAGGAAAGGAATCGAAGCAGTCGCGCGGCCTTTCGCTTCCTTCGCTTATTTTTTCCTTGAAAATCTGGAAATCTTTTGGACATTGAATCTCAAGCACAGAAACTTAAAACTCTGCTTGAGTTGTCTGGTTTGTTGTCACAACACCATTCATGCAGGATATGGAACGTCAGTGCAACCCAGGAACCGATGTCTGCGACGCCAGCAGCTTGATGACGTGATATCGGGGTAACAAGCTTTCGTTCTCAGGGCCAAGTATTACTCAATCTTACGAGCATTGTTTTGGAGTTTTTATGTTTGCAGGATTGCATGGACAGTCTAAGAGATACTTCTACTACAAAAGTGTAGATTTCAAAGAAAGAATACAGTAGTATGCAATCATTGTCATTTCTTCAATTGAGACAAAGTTGGAATGTTGGAGCGAAATGTCTCCAAGGCGTATCGCGCCAAAAGATATCTGAGTCTCATCTGAATGTTCTCATTCTCCAACTTCAGTATCTTCACCTTTCACTCAAGTCAACATGTTCAAAAAAGTACACCGACCCCATACCTGCATCTCATACTCGTCTCCTCCCTTAGAATCCCTTTCTGCGACGCTACTCCTCTCTCTTTCCTCGGATCCAGATTCAGTCAGCCTTTGATTGATTTTCTCGAGGAAAGCATCCAGGTCGTTTCCTTCTGCATCCTTCATGGGCTGCAATGCACCCCAAGCATGGTGAGTGATTCATATTGGAAGAGCAAATTGAACCTGATTGAGGAGCTCAAGCTCAAACATTCTGTTGCTCATGTTCACGAGCTCTTCGGGCGACACGTTTGTTCGAGCGTTCAAGCTATCTAGATAATTCATCTTAACAGCAATCACCTCTTTATGGTAGGCATCTCTTATCTTGGTAAGGCTCTGATTTCGTTGGGACACGCTTTCCTTGAGCTTTCGTATATGTTGCTCATCGTAAGAGGCTTGCAGCTTGAGGTCAGTCAGCTCTTTCTCCATCTCTTTGATCCGTTTCTCTTGCTGCGATATCGTCTCCTGGGACTTTGTGTGGGAATTGAGGAGGATTTGATTCGACTGGTAGATGGAGTCGATCTCAAGAAGAAGATTTTCACAGAAAGGTCTGACCAAATCGTCAACTACCTCATCGACCTGTGCTCAACTTCTCAGTGGAAACTTATCAGACGTAAATATCACCTTGTCGACTGGTTCGGCGTTGACGCTGCGGTCGAGCAACGAAGAGAACGAGGAATTGACAAACTCATTCTCGGCCTTCCTGTCTAACTCCTGCATCCTTTGCAAGTTTTGAAGGCGAACCTTCTCCAGGGTTGTGAGAGGACGGGCCTGACTCTCCGCTATCATCGCCAGCTCTCTTGTCCTCTTCTCGTCTATCTCCCTCTGCGCAGCCGCGACCTCTTTCTTGGCCTGTGCATACTCTTTTTCTCGGGTTGAATCTATTGCGGCCTTTACCTTGTTCTGAAACTCCTTGCACAGCAGATGTATTTGGCCGAGAATCCTATTCCCGGCATTGAAATCCAGTTGAGAATTCATGTCGTCATGCTGCATGATCTCTTTCTCCCCTCTCTCCTCTCTCCTCTCTCCTCTCTCCTCTCTCCTCTCTCCTCTCTCCTCTCTCCTCTCTCCTCTCTCCTCTCTCCTCTCTCCTCTCTCCTCTCTCCTCTCTCTCTTCCCTACAATCAGCAGGTTCCTACTGGCAGGATGCCATCAGTCAGGATGTTCCGACAGTTGAGGCTCCCGGGCGAGGCCGGGCCTCGCGAAGAATTTGTCCTACGTTTTTTTCTAGTTTTCCCTGAATATTCAAACCTCTGTTTTTAATGCTGATGAAGCAATGATTGTGGTGAGTTGGAAACGAGGTGGTGGTGGAGGAGGAGGAGGAGGGGGGGGGGGGGGTCAAGACCAAGACGAGGAGGACATGGAGGAGGAGAGCAAGAAAAGACATGACTGCGGGATTAGGGGCAGGAAATGGCCCGGGGATGGGCAGGGCGAAAGTTGTCATGGGACATGCTAAGGTTTAGACAGCAGAAGATTATGGTAGCCCTGGAGGAGCAGAAAATCTTGCAGGAAGAAGGAAGGGAGAATGAACTATCCTGATAGTGCTTTAGGGGTGTACTGCGTGAACCTGTCTGCTATTCCTGTCATCTCCATGGCTTACCATCACCCGCTCTTGAAGAGCCGCTCCTCTTCGAATGCTGTCTGGGATGGGTAAGCTGTCCTCAACAATCAAACAAGTCTTTTTTGAGATTCTTTTCTTCTAGAGTACTGTCCCTTCTTGAAGACTACAAGTCCTTGATAGTTCCCGTTGCTGCAAACATCGCAACCAGCTACAATGTTTGTGAGTGCCTCATTTCTCGAAAAGATAGTAGTTTGAAGTCGATGCAGGCAACGTTGGCTATGTCATGCAAATCTTCCGTCTTGAACATCCTGTTCCTCGCTGGGCAGCACCTGCTGTCGCTTCCTCTTGTCTCTGCGGAGCTGTGATTGGGCAGGTTCGGTGCCCATCCATGCTTCCTGTCTTGCTCCTTTCCGCACTCTTACAGTTTCCCTGTCTCCAAAGCTGCTCTCCGTCTCTCCCCATCTCCAGTCTCTCCTTTCTCCTTCCTTCCTTCACATCGAGCTTGAATTTTCTCACTGTCTTCATATTAGCTCGTGCTCGGTTGGCTGGGCGATCGTTTCGGAAGGAGACCTGCGCTGATAGCAACGTTGCTCTTGATTGTTCGTTTGCTCTTTGCTTTGTCTCTCTCCTGTTCTCATCGATTTTTTCAAGATATTTGGAGCCGGAGGAGGGGCCATCTTTACGCAAGGATACGGGAATTACATCTGGCGCAGGTAAGAAGTGAACAGTCACCGTTTGTGGCCATGCCCTTTCTTGACACCTTCTCCTACCTTCATGTCTACTGTCTCTTGATGCCTTCGTTTCTCTCCATTCTTTTCTCTCCTCCTTCACCTTCTCCGCTCCCTCTTTCTCAATCATCAATTTTCAAGTTATCATCCTCAAGGAGCTGCGCTCACTTTTGCATGGTTCCTCTCCTCCCTCTCCTGCCATGTTCTTCCTCCTGCTCTTCTCAGCTAACCCTCTTGCCTTCTCTGCAGTCTCGTGATATGGAGGTTTATCCTTGGCGTGGGGATAGGAGGGACCTATCCCCTGACCGCGGTGTATGCCGGGGAGATGCAGGACGAGAGGAGCATGGGGAGGACTCGACGAGTTGCGTTGTCCATCTCCATCCAGATCATCGGCAACATCCTTGCTCCCGTCCTCATGTTCATCGTCCTCCTCTTTTTGGGTTCGGAGAACGTCACGCTCAACCAGACTTCGACGGAGGTGGCATGGAGGTTTCTCCTAGGGGCGGGTGCCGTCCCTGCTTTAGTGGCGCTGCGCGAGATCATGTACTCGCAGGAGAGCAGCGAGTTCCTGAGCATCCGGGCGACAGGATTCAGAAGCAGGCTGTCGGACGTCATGAGGACGCTCTCATCGGACGCGAAGATCCGTCAGCGATTCATTGGGGCGGCAGGAGGCTGGATGTGCTTCGACATCTGCTTCTTCGGGGTAGCCATCTTCCTCCCGCACATCATTCACGATCTGATCGACAAGGAGGACCATGGCGAGGGCTTCCTGCTCCTCAACTCTGCTGTCTCCGCGCTTATCAACTGCATCGCCATCCCTGCCGTCCTCCTCTCCATGCGACTGGTGTCTGACGACGGGCTGGGGAGGAAGAACTTGCAGATCGTTAGCTTCTTCCTCATCATGGTCTCATATGCGCTGCTCATGTTCTTCTTTTCCTCCCTCCGGTCCATTCAGGCGACTACGTCCGTCGTCTTCATGTTCCTCATCCTCTTCTTCTGCCTTAACTTCGGTGCTGGGATGACTACCTACATCCTGCCGCAGGTTCTTGTGCCCTCTCCTTCTCCCTTCCCTGCCTCCTCTGCTCCTGCCAGGCTATCACGACCTCTGGACACCCTGTTCGTCTCTTCCTAACGTGGCCTGCAGGAATCATTTCCCCCTGAGGTCCGGTCGAGCTTGAACGGCATGGCAGCTGCAGCAGGGAAGATCGGAGCTATCGTGGGTACTTCAACATTCGCGCCAAGCGCGAGGATGTTAGGTAAGAGAAAGAGGACACTGAGGGGGGTTGCGGAGATGCTGGAGCAACGGGTTGGTAGAGATGTAGGGTAAGAGGCGAGAAGGAGGAGGAGGAGACGGCAGGGATAGAGGAAGGGACGATGAGATAGTTAAGGTGATGGTAGAAGAAGTGCGAGATTGACTATGGAGGAGAGGGAGCTGACCAGAGGGAAGGTCTGGGTACCACATTCGGATGGTGCTCTCTGTGTGCTCTTATCGGCATGATCGTGACCTTGGTGTACGTGGACGACATGAGGAAAGAAGAGGTGAGAGGGAGGTGGAGGAGTAGGATGGCTGTGGTCGGCGGAGTCGACCAGGGGCCGGGGGGGCGGGGGGGGGGGAAGGAAGACGAGAGGAGAGAGTTGGAGGATGGGGAGATGGGGGCTAGTGGCGGTGAAGCTGACGAGTAGCAGGGATTTGATCGGATACCAGACATACCTGAAGTGCAACGCAAGCTGTGAAGGGGAAGAGAGGGGAAGGGAAGAGGAAGGACGGGAGCTCGGACGCGGTCAGTCGTCACCACGAGGGAGACGGCGAGCAGGAGATACGACGCACCTGAGAGATGTGTTAGAGGTGAGGAGGGAGAGGAGGGAGGAGGAAGATCGAGGGAGATTCAACAGCAACAAGATGAAGTCCTGACCATTGTTCGCTTCCATCCATCTCCAGCACTGTGGGAAACAAAGAACTCGCGCTGTTGCCGAAGCCAAGTCTCCCGTTCTTACCCGTCCTGGGAGTTGGAAGTCAAACCCTTCCCGCATTATTCACTATCCTCCTTCTCATCTCCTACTTATGTTTCAACTCCTATGAGTACCACCTGCCTCCTCCTCCGATGTCCACTACTCCCCTGACTCTCCTCCAGCCTCCTGCATACTCCCCTGCCGCCGCCTTGTCCTCCTCCTCACCCCCATATGAAGACATTGCCGTCGCTGCCGAGCACGCAGGCATGAAACGCCCCCGAGGAGATCTGCTTGAGCCTCGGCATGAGGTCCAGCTGCGACCATAGCAGTCAGTAAGAGGGAAGAGGGCAGGACGGGAGAAGGAAGCAAGTCAAGACTGACCTTGCACACGAGCACGTTCTCCTCGTTGGAGGTCGTGACCCTCCTGTTCATCCACTCGACCAGCGCCTCAGCCGTCAGGTTCCCCTTCTTGTTCGGCTTCAGCACGTCGGAAGGAGCCTCGATGAAGAAAGTTCCTCCTCCCTTGGACACCTCCGGCATGAACTTCTCGTGCCAGCAGTCCGCGTCCTCCGGCATCATCCCCGGGATCGGCCGACCACGCTTGTCCTTCCTCACCCCGAGGATGGAGAAGAACGGGCCCGTGTTCCTGCTCTCGATCTTGAGGCCCTGGGGGGCAAGGGGCCCCTTGAAGGCGACAAAGTCCCCAGGGAGGATGCCAAGGTCCCCCTGGTAGGAGATCTTGAGCACATGATGTTCTATCTTCTCCGAGTCCACAGGCTTCCCGTCCTCGTCCAGTATCATCCTCTCCTCCACCTTTCTGAACGTCTCGATGGGCTTCCAGAACCCGTCGGGCTCGTGCACGTTGTAGGAGCAGGAGACCTCTGCGGCGTCGGAGAGCAGCGTCTCGAGGCGGCGGGGGAGGAAGCAGTCGACTGTCTTGACCTCGGACACCTTCTTTCCCTTGATGATCTTCTCGTCCACAAACACGTTCGACTCCCTTGACGTCATGTCCAGCCCGCTACCCAAGAGCCAGAGGGTCGAGTCGAGGAGCACGAGGGTATGGCAGGTTCCGCAGGCCACCTGGAAGATCCTGTGCTCCCTCGACCTCGAAGTCTGCAGCAGGCTCCTGGAGGACTGCAGCAGCTCGTGGGTCTTCCCGACCGACGATCGGAACGTCTTGTTGTGCTGGGAGGAGTGATGGGTCAAGGTCATGCTCCTGCTCGTAAGGTCGTTCCGCGGCGATCGAGGGGAGACGGGAGCATCAAGGTCGCCAGCAGCCTTCTCCTCCACCCTCGCAGCACCCTTCTTCTGCTCCTTGGAGGCGAGCTGGTCGAGGTACCTGAGCCCTTGCAGCCTCTTGGCGATGGCATCGTCCTCCAGCAGAACCCTCGCAGTCTCGATCGTCACCTCTGCCCTCGTCTCCTCCTGGGGGAAGCTGACTTTCTGCGGTCGCTTCACGTCCTCCGGCATCGGGATCGAGCTCTTGTCTCCTCCCTTTCCTCTGATCAGAGAGTCCCGCAGCTTCTCCATGATCGCCTGCGAGTAAGGAGGCAGGCCGCACTGCCCGCTGTCGTTCTGACCCCACGCGTACACGTCTCCTTCCACACACACAACGACCGTGTGAGAGGAGCCGCACGAGACGTCCACCACCCTCTTCTCGTCAAGATCCTCCACCCTACGAGGCCTCCTCTCGTCCTCTTTGCTGCCATGCCCCAGTCGGTACGACTCTCCCCTCCCCCACGTCCACAGCTCGGCAGTCGCCGACCCTGCTTCCCCCACGATGGCGGCTGTGTGACTGTCGCCGCACGAGACGCGCGAGACGGGAAGGCCCTTGAAGTCAACGGGCTTGGGGATGGTACCGCAGAGATGCAGAGTGGTAGGACGGGGGAGAGGAGTGTACGGCTCGCCGGTTGCTGCGATCTCCTTGACCTCCTTGCTCTTTTCCAGGTACCGTTTGACCACTTGCGGCGTCTTCTCCCCCGCCTCTAGTAGAGGCAGCGCCCCATCGTCTCCATCCTTCTCCAGCTCTCTTCCCAGCTGCCCAAACTTGTTGGACCCGAAAGTGTAGCACGTCCCATCCTGCCCGATGACAGCACTATGGGCCCCACCGGCTGCGATCGACCCACGAGAGGTCTTAATGCGAATCCCCGAGGACAGAGCAGAGACTCTCGATCCTTCGGACACGGAAGCATTCTCCTCCTCTGCCGTCTCCGCGTCCTCCTCCAACTTCTCGATCTCCGGCAAAGGGGTAATCGACTCCACTACTTCAGCAGCGAAGACATCGCAGGATAGCCGGTCCTTCTGCCAGTACAGCCCCGTCCGTCCGCTATCCCCGCACCCCCACGCATACAGTACCCCGTTATCATCCACCGCCAGCGTGTGGCTGTCTCCACATTCAACGAGCCGGAACCTGGTAAGGTTCTCGCAGTGATATTCATCGTCAGAATGAGCCTCAATCGAGTCGACGGTCTTCTCCTCCTCGATCTCTCCGTCCTCATCAGGAGCTTCTTCGTCCTCCGTGCTCTTCCAGTGGTCCTGGTCACCTTCATCTCGCCTGATTTTTCGCTTCACCTGACATCGCAATCAACAACACATCGTGCTCTCCGAAACCAACCCTGTGAGGTCCGCAAAAGTAGAATCTCGTCTTCGGCTTCAGCATCTTCCCTCGGATGTGCAGTCGATTCGACTTCTTAGCGTGTATCGTGTCGCAGCACCTACCGCAGAACACCTGGCGAGCAAGTCAAACTTCAACTGCCAGCCCTGGGCCCGCAAGACCTGAAATCTCCCCTCGTGCGTCAGGAACGGGCAGGACTCGCAGTCATACTCGGCCATGAGCACGTTGCAACTATCGCAGAGCAGCGTGACCTCTCGCTCTGCAGTGTTGACAATGCCGAGCTGCAGGCAAGCTTGAGTCACATCAATTAATCGCAAGTCTCCGACCTGTCCATGTCTGTGGTTGCCAAACGCCCACAAGTCTCCGAATCCGTCGTTGCCCTCATCCGTCACGAGGATGGTGTGAGACTCTCCACATGAGCAGTAGGAGAATGAGAGGTCGTCATCCTCCTCCTCCTCCTCGGTCGTTTCCAAAGTCTTGAAACACGCCAGTCAAGATTGTCGATGGCAAACGTGTCACCATAGTTACCTTGTCACTCCTTGCAAGACTCTTCGACGTCCGAGAAGTTCGCAATTCATTGACATGGCTGTCATCATTCCGCGATCGAGACGATCGCAGGTCCTTCATGCTGTCCTCTGCATTCCGGATGGGGATAGTTTGTCTTGTACCGAAATCAATGCTTGACTTCTTATGCGCAGAAACTGAGAACACACATGGTAACGCAACGTCAACGCGCTTGCAGTTGCATGAAATCTTACCTGATGGTGCGCTGAGTGATGAGATGACTGAGACTTTGTCGCCCGAGACATGTGAGGGAGCAGACTGATCAGCAGCTAACTCGGATCTTGACGTTGGAGCGAGGGTTATAACCAAGTCTTCCCCTTCTGATCCTCCCCGAGAAACATGCACCTTCACGCTGTTGGTCTGAAATGCGTGTCATGCCAGCTATCACAGCAATGGGCGTGTTGTTTACCGAATGATTGCAATCAGAGAAAAACTCTTCTCCACCATCATCTACCTCCTGCCCATTCACAGAAGTGATTACATCGTTTTCTTGCAGCCCGCTTCTCTGCGCGATCCCTCCATCTTCGGTCGAGACGACCTTCCTACAATCAAGTACTCGTTCAGTCAAACAGAGGGAACATCGACGTCCTTCCTCACCCATCTCTGATGTGAAACCCTAGTCTCTCGCCCATAGTTCGAAGTGAAGGCTCTGGCTCCCCTTCGTCGTTCGCTCTTCCTTCCTCCAGCATGGCATGCGCTCTCTCCTCGGCACTCTCACCATGCTCGTTCTGTTTCGACTGTTCCCCTCCTCCTTCTCCTCCTCCCAGCCGAGCAAGCGACCGAACTACCGACGGCAACCACTCCATCGCCCGAAAAAGAGAGTCCGGAAAAAAAAAGTCAAGGCCAAACAAAAAAACTTAGTCAGAGAGTTACCCTTTATTGACTGAAAAAGAAGGACAAACCGAAGCAAACAAAGGAGGGGGAGGATAGAGCCTACAAACCCGCCTCAATAAAATACTAGGAAACGAAGGAGGCAGCGAAAACCGGCACTCCAACCATGTAAGCGACGGCATGCACGACAAGCAGAGAGTACCGGGCCGCCGGGTCGCCGGCACCGTCGGCGTCGGCACGGGGCTGCGAGCACTCCGAGTATGGTGTACTCTGCGGGCCGGAGTATCAGTACTAGAGTAGTGACTTCAGGTAGTAGCAGGCTGTTGAGAAGACTCTGGCAGTAGTCACAAGTCCGACTCAGTAACTTAGGCACGGTAAATCTATCGGTTCATCTTGAACATGGATGGACTTTCGATGAGCATCATTGCAGCTTGCAACATCTCTTGTTGGGTAAGAGGTGCAACAAACATGCATCAAGGCATGAAATCGTTAAAAAGGAATATCTTATACAGCCTACAAGCCTATGGACATCAAAGCACAGATTCAAAACACTAAGAACAGCATCTGTATCCTTGTAGCTCCTTTCAGTGAAATTCATCTCCTATGCTTCTTTTCGCCCTCGCTGCATATTTACGGAAGTAGCGCTGTCACAGTGATCAGCACCTTGAGTGAAGTCACAGTTCAATGATTCGATTTACCCTCTTGTGCCTCTCCCACGCATCCTTGAAAGAAAGTCACCAACTACAAGATGTCTTTACGGTGATTGCCTCACCTCGGGTGTTCGTGGCGACTGTAAACTACCTCGAGGAGTGACGGGGCTGACCTTGGGCTTCGGATACGGCAAAGGCTCGAAGATACTGAGATCTTGCAGCGATGGAATCGATTCCTGACAGAGACAGTCAGGACATGAATGAAGGGAATCATTCAAGTCTTGACCAGCTTTGGGGGGAGCACATGGCTGTTGACCTGGATGTTCTTCAGCGGAAGTGACCTGCTCAGTACGTTTTCCTTCTAATTCATCGAGCCCATCAGGACGGTTCGATCTTCATTTTGAGAACCTTTGGGTTGGCGATCGCGTCAGTCAATCTCCTCGCCAGCATGTTGTCGTCTGGCTCCTCCATGTCTTTGCAGGCATTTGAGATCTCAAGGTGGTTATAAGAGCGATTGTGTACCTGATTCGAAGATGACCAGTATAACCTTAGCTACCTGAATTGAGCTTTCAATGCAAGTATGAGCATATCACGATCACCTGAATGATGTTTGCAGGGACGGCATTGCTCGACTTCAACGATCGCAGGCGGTGAAAGTAAAAATCGAAAGGCTTCGGTAGCTCGGCTTGGGTTCCGACAGAGTGAAAGAAGGGAGCTTCAGGTTCGTTGTCCATAGAGTTCTGATGACGAATCAGCCATGTCCAACGCAAGCAAACTTGGGTCAAGATCACCTTCGATGCGCTCTCATTCTCATCAGCACCCAGCAGGAGCAGAGATGAAGTTTCAGGAGCCGCACTGGGCGGTTGCACCTCCTTCGCTTCTTCCTCCTCAACATCATCAACAGTCTGCACTGAATGCAAATACTGGATCTCCCCGTCATCTGCTCTCGGGTGTGTTGAGAGAACTTGGGTGGTTTGACAAAGAGACATAATCGACAGAAGCCCCGAGATGGCTGTTGAGATCTCAGCCTTAGGCTCCATGACAAGAGAGCGACGGGGTACCTATCGATGACACGATATACCGGGGGACGTCAAGATCGTCACATCCAGTCTCTATCACTGCGCATCCCAAGGACAGGTTGACTGTCACGCATATCCAGGAGAGCAAGACTGAGGACTGCGAGTAATCATCCATCAGACTTGCTGTCTGTTGCACATCAGCAGTACCATTGTGCGCAGCGTACCAAACCGCAAGTAGCATCTTCCTGCAAAGTTAAGGTCACCGAGAAATCGTTCATCTGTTCACCTACCCATGAGAGGTAAGAGCGGAGCCTGCACGATATGAAATGTTGCTGAGCTCCAGAAATCATCTTTGTCCCGAGACTTGTCTATGATAGGTCTGTCTATCATCTGAGTCACCAGGATAGTGGATAGCAGCAGGATGAAGTTGAGCGAATCTTGCCAAGCACGACAGCAGCGAGAAGTCTGAGGGAGGACGGCGATCAACCAAAGTGAGCACAGGACGGCTCGTGGGAAGATGAACAGCATCAAGTTGCCGCTCTCGGGGGTAATCGGAATGAAACAAAGTACTGCAACAGCACCAACGAATATGGTTTGGGTTCCACATTTTTGAAGTATGGGATGATATTCGGCGAAATGCAGAGAGGTCTTGCACCAGATATCATTCGAATTCACAGCATCCCTGTTTCTTCTTGAAATGTTCTCCCCTTCCTCGATCTTGTGCTTGGAAGAAGAGATTTCGTGGAAATGTTGTATGATGGCTTGGATATCGTTGATTTCCTTTGTTTTCCTGAGGACGTCTTCTCGATCCTTCGACATCGCCCTGTCAACCTTGAGCTTCTCTACTCTGAAGATGAGGCGCGACAGGTTGCTCTTCATCTCGCTGCTAATCTTGCGCCCGACACTGAAGTTGCTCGCAATCTCGTCTACCGTGATCCCCACGCTCTCATCCAACCTCCTGCCTTCACCTTGCTGCATATGAGCAGATCCTTGCGGGGCCTTGCTATCAGTATACGGGCTGATGTTGGCAATCACGTTTCTCCCTCCTCCTCGTCCCCATGCGCCTCCCTCCGCTTCGTCAACCATCGCCGCTCATCACGCTTTGACTCGTTAGCTAATAATAGGACTGGTGTGTCCATTTCTGTTCTTTCTTTGTACCTGGCTTATACTTTCTTATACCGACTTCTTGTATAAAGTTTCAGTCGCTCCACATACCACATTCTTTATACATGCTTATACCTTCCTTCTAAATCTCAGTGAAGATTGCCGGGATCTGCCTCGGGGTTGACCAAAGATGGGTCGTAGTGGGGATGCGGGTCCAAATCGTGTTCCATGTTCCATGTGCAAAGAAATAAGAAATGCTTGCCAACCCTGCTCAACTCTCTTCCTCCTCCTCCTCCTCCTCCTCCTCCTCCTGTTTGTCTCCTCTACTCATACTCATCCTATCCTTCTCTTCATCTCAACCTCATCTCAACATTTTCTTCTTTATCGTCCTCCTCTTTGTCCCTATCGTCCTCTTCGTCATTGTCTGCTCCCACATCCTCCACTTTTTGATATAGTTCGTCCCCGTCCTATCAGTCATTGCCCTTGCCCTTCTCTTCCTCTTTGGTCTTGTCTTGTCCCTCAATTCACGGACATTGCCCATGCGATTCTCGCCGTGGTCTTCGTTCTCGTCCTGATCTTCATTCCTATTCTTCTCTTTAACGCCAAACGAGCCTCACTGCTTCCTACTACCTCTTCTGTTTCCTTTACATCTCGTGAAATGCATCTCCACCACCTTTGCTACTGACCGCTCCTCTTTTTTCTGCTGCCATGCCATGCCATGCCATGCCATGCCATGCCATGCCTTATCTTTGATCTCACAAACATGTGCTTTCCCTTAATGTTCACCTTTGCTTGGTTTCTTCCCCTCTCCTCGCTGACTTGTGGACGTTTAAGGTCCGGGGCGACTCTCTCTCTCAACTTATGAGTTTTCTCAATCTCATCGGTCGTCGCGTCTTCTTCCACAAATTTTTCATTCCCGCAGCATTCATATGGGCATCTATCGCTCCGATAAGCCTCTCGGAGGGCAATCAGATGAGCTGTCAGTCCTCGAGGCAGGGACGTTACCCGCAAGCGTACTGGTCGTCAGCCAAGTCGGAGGGCAACATCGTTTCAAGGCTGAGGTTACGAGGGGGGTTGGAGGAGACGGTCATAGAGCCTGAGGCGAGTAAAGACGCCAACAGCTCGATATCAACTTGGAAGAGGTCGATACTGATAACGGGGGGGTGTGGGTTTATGGGTAGCCACCTGGTAGACAGGCTGGTCCTCAAGTACCCTCAGTACCTGGTGGTTGTGTTGGATGTTTTGGATGAGTGCAGCTCTACACATCATCTGAGTAAGGTGAAAGATCGACCCAACTTCATCTTCGTCCATGGAGATGTAAGTCAAGGCTCTTCGCCTGTGACTCGCTCAGGTCTCACAACAAGTTCTCCAGATCCGGGACTCGGAGCTGGTGTCCGTGTTGATGAACGACTACAAGGTGGACACTATTCTGCACCTGGCAGCGCAGACGTCTGTGGATCATTCGTTCAAGAGCCCTTCTGTCTTCACCGATGTCAACGTCGTGGGGACTCAGAGTCTCCTGGAATGCTCTCGCAGGGCGACGAGGCTCAGGCTGTTCCTCTACTGTTCTACCGATGAAGTACTAGATATGATGTTTCCCAGGTCTTTACTGAAGTTTGTCTTGACAGGTCTACGGAGAAATCAAGGAAGACGCCGCGACAGAGGACTGTCCTCTCCGACCCACCAATCCTTATAGCGCTTCCAAGGCGGCAGCTGAGCTCTTGGTCATGGGGTATGCGACGTCGTTCAAACTTCCGTGCATCGTGACGAGGTGACCCTGGTGGCGTGTCGCGAGTCTCGCTGATAGTCTGCCGGCAAGGTGCGTCAACGTCTACGGCTCCCGACAGTTTCCGGAGAAAGTGATCCCTAAGTTCGCCATGCGCTGCAAGTGCGTGAAGAATGAAGTTCTTCACTGTCGACTCGTCCGTTTTGACTAGCGAATCCCAGGATCGGTCAGCCGTGCTGCATCCATGGAGACGGCCAGGCCAAGAGAAGTTTCATCTATGTTGAAGACGTGAGTCTTCTATTCATCATACTTTCCTACTCCTCAGCCCCCCCTCCTCCTCTGGTCATGTTCTTCACCACCAGGTTGCAGAAGCTTTCGACGTCGTCATGCACCAGGGGAAGGTGCGGCTGTGCATGACGTGTGACCTCTGTGGAGCGAGAAATCTGAGACGGAGGAGCAGGCGGGGAACGTGTATAACATCGGGTCCAAGGATGTCGTCAGCGTTCGCTACATAGCAGACAAGATATCTGAGGCCATCACGGGCAGCGCCGGACTTATCCAAAACGTGCCTGACAGGCTTTACAACGACTGCAGGTGAGTGCATTTTCCCACTGATTCATGCTTGCTGCCCCTTTCTTCCTGCTTCAGTCTCTTGCTGCTCGTGCTCATCACACGGGTTCCAGGTATGCACTCAACTGCTCCAAGCTTGAAGGCCTCGGTTGGAAGCAGCGGACGCCCTTTGAAGACGGGCTGCACAGAACTCTCGAGTGGTACATGGAGAATGGCGGGGAACCCTGGGCCTCCGACGCCTGCGATCGCGCTCTCCTTCCTCACAGCCATCTGGATGGCAGGGGAGACCTTTCAGGAGTCCCTTGGAGCGTCCAGGAGATGGAAGACGTAGAAGATGTGCTGAGATCCGCTGGAGTGTTTTGACATGTCAAGAGCTCGATGTTTGTTATTTACAAATGAAAATTTGCTTTCGGAGGTGTATCGTGTACCACAGGCTGCGCGAGAGTCTTCATTCCTTGCAACTGAATTCCACAAGGAACACAGGTTTGACCTGCAAAGCAATAATGCAAAATCAGCCTCTCGAGTAGAAATGGTTAAGATCGGCAGTACCTGAAACATGTCGAAGACAACGTAGTTGTTGAATGGTACACAGCTTGAGGGTTCGCCGAAGAGTGAACTTGGAGCGTCTACGACAGTCTGCAAGGCTCCACATAAGACCGCCTGCCCTACAGCTCGTCGAGCCCAACGCTTCTCACCTGCAGCGTTCGGTTGGATCCCCTTACAGCTGGGAAGTCGTTCGTCTTGAAGGGATTTGAAGAGACCTGTAACTGATATTCAAACGAGGTTTCACTCAACCTCCTGCACGCACCCTGCCTCTTGCAAAAATTGAATGGAATCCATGTGGTGCCCTTCTCAGGGCACACGCATTTTTCATTTCTTTCTGCTCTCCCAAAGCTGCCTCGCAGAGCAGAAGGAATCCGGACGTGCAGTCGCGGGAAACAAAGCATCTTTCAGCTGCTGCATTCACGCAGTCGAAGAGATATATCCCTTTGCCTGTACACTATGTCAATGTCGATTGATATTCAAGCAAGAGAGGATACCAAAGGGATAGTTGGCCGAGGGCGTTTCTTGAAGTGGAACCTGAATGCCTTGAGCTAGAGACCTTGTGATGGAACTTGCTGTTCCTCCTCTCCAGAGCAGCCTCTGGTTGTTGAGCCTCTCAAACGGCTTGTAACGAAAGTCGTCTCCTGCCCTCTGTTTCCAAGGTATCAGACACCCGAAACAGACGTCTTACAGATCCGCACCTTGATTTGAAAGACTCGCTCGAGATTCAAATTCATCGTTTCAGTTGGCGCCCTTGTCAAATTGAAGAGTTTCTGAACACGTGAGAAGTCCTCAGAGCTTGTGGGCAACTCTTGAATATTTGTTTCAAGAATCTCGTAAAAGGCATCGAGCTTTTTCAAGTCTTCTTGGGAAGAAGGTGACAACTTGACTCTCTTTCTCAAGGAAATCACAGCAGATATGTCTTCAAGGTTCTCAAGCATTTTTCCTTTGTCCTGTTGTGTGTGAGTAATTTTGACAACAAAAATATAATTGAATGACCTTCAATGCTTCAACTGTCTCAAAGGTCTCCAATTCCACTGCTTCGTTCATAGGAATGATGCTTCGAATCTTTTCTGAATGCTTAGCAAGCTTCCGTATGTCATTTCCTGACTGCTTGCTCCCTTTCTGCAGCAAGAATAAACACGCCCGCAAAAAGTGGGCGAACAAACCTTGATGATATCTTGAATCAAAGACAGCTCCGCTAAGGCTTCATGTACGGTATGTCGTTTTACACGTTGCAACGGCATTTTCTCAGAATCAAGTTTCATGCTGGTTAGTTCCCCCTCAAGAGAACCCTTGCTGACTATTCTGTTCAACAAGTTTTGGATGTTGGGGTCAAGTTTTGACCGATATGTTTCATCATTTTCAACGTCAGACTGGTTTCCTTCCTCGTCTTCATCATCGGATAAGTCAACCAAGGTGAATTTTCCTGGGTGCGTACGAAATGACATAGAGCCTGGAATTCCAAAGTCACACAACACATTCAGAGGCGAAATATGTATATAAACCAGATTGCCAGGAATTCCTTGTACGCTCCCAGAATCTCTTTTCAAACGCGGCAATAGCATCATTTTTGTCGTTGTAATCAACCACATCGCATCCAGGTTTCTGATCGTATCCAATCAACATATGGACGACGAGGCATCGAACCTGTCCTTACCTCCGTTTCCACTTTGCCCCATTGCGTGACTAAGTGCCATTTCTCCCCTTTCATGAGACCACCCGCTTCAACCTGGCGAGGGGTTTCAGTATTAACTTCACTGCAATAAATATTTACCAATTTGATCGAGAAAAACTGCGTTAGTACATCCCCTTCCTCATCAACTTCTGTCTTTGTCAGATACGCATTGTAGGGAATTCCAGAGTCGTTCTTCAGAAATGTTGCCTTCGGACGCATAAGAAATCCAAGTGAGTAGAGCTTATCATATTTCATCCAATATTACCTCGGGAACGATGGTTTCTTTGACATTGAATTGCCTTTTCCGAGCTTCTTTGGAGTAATTGAAGCGCATACGGTATTCCTTTTCCCAGTCCAGTTCTTCGCGAGTTTTTCTATCAGAAAATTCAGATATTTTTGATTGAAGAGAACAGCTCAGACCTAACGGTAGGTTTGCGCTTTGCCCTGACAGGTTCTTCATCATTATCTAGTTCAGTCTCATTCTGATCCTGATTCCCGTCGGAATTTTTTTTTGATGATTTTCGTGCACTCTGTGGACTTTCAACAGAGCTTTCGAGGAAAGCAGGTTGATATTCTTGCTCAGCAACGAGCGCTTGTTGTTCAATGCTTGTTGTGAAAAATGTCTCAAGAACAATTTTGGCACCATGCTTTCTTGCTGATTTCACACGTGAATCCAGGGTTTTCCGTGCTTTCTCTCTGGCAGAAGATAAAATGTAAGTGTTGCAGAAGGGCCTGGAAAGACTCACTTTTGTGAAAATACTAGATGTGTAACCTTCTTGGTGACTGCAGTTTGCACCTTGTCAAAAGCAATGAGAACTTGACACGATCACACATCAATCACAACCTTTCCGCCATTCAAGGTGATAAGATCCTGCAATTCCGTTGAAGCTGCTTTGTTGTTCGCAAAGTAATTCCCTGGATCATGTCAAGGTAAATCAAGACATCTGATCAGATAAATCCACACCAGCAAGTACGACAACACAATCAACAAACAGTCCACTGTTTTGCTTTCCCTTGCTTTTCTTCATTTTCTTTTTCGGAGTAATCATGTCGTCAGAGTCAGAGTCTGAAGACTCTGTTGGAGGTGTCAAACAAAGATTGAATATCAAATTCTTGCTTACCAGAACTTGAAGCAGGTTGTTCGCTCTCACTCTCGTTTGAACCTTGCTTCAATTCTTCGATGTCTTGTGCAGAGACATATTCTAAGGAATTGTGCAATTCCTCAACCTCTTCAGCAGAGATACTTTGGCAGTGCATTACAATCGATGCCACTTGTTCATTGATGTATCCTTTGAATTCTTCCACCATCTCATCCCCGAATATCTCCATTAGTTTGTCACGACAAGTTCTCTTGGTGAGGGTGGTGTCCTTCTCTATCACAGCTTTGGAGATGATTTTCTTCAGCTGCTGTTGCAGTAGTTGCACAGCTCTGTCTTCAAAGCTTTCCTCTTTTGAAGCTTTCTTCTTTTTTGATTTTGACTTGCTCTTGCTTCGACTCTTGCGCTTTTCATCTTTCTTTCGCTTCCCAGCTGACTTTTGAGCCGGCGATGCTCCCTTTGAAGCTGGCGATGAACGTTTTGAAGGCGGCGATGAGCCTTTCGAGGATGGCGATTCAAGACTCTTCGTTCGCTTGGTCTTCCTAGACTCGCTTTGCTCCTTTCGCTGTTTGGCAGCTCTGGCAAGCATTTCCAGGCTTCGTTTCTTGTCGTTGTTTTCAGATATATTCTTCTCAGATGCATCGTCATCTGAGCCCTGATGCATGCTACTTGCACCCTGTTCCTCAGTCGAGCCAGTTCTTCCGTACTCTTCGGACTCCTCGTTTCCTTCTTTCTGATTCCTCGAGGGCTGTTCGTCCTCCGAGTTGTCGGAGTCAGCTTGCTGAACCAACCGTCCCTTGCGTTTAGGGGTGCGAGGCTTCTCATCAGTCACAGCATCAGAGTTGAGAGGGGCGTCAGAAGTCTTTGGGTTTTCAACCTCAACATCGGAATCTGATCCTGTGTCGTCATTGAGTTGAACCCGCCTACACTTCCCTGTTAGGAACGACTGGGATACATCAACGCAAGGTTCTCACCGTTTGCCATAGCGAGCTTTGTTTACAGGCGCATCTTCAGATCCCTTCCCTGCATTTTCAATTCTCTTCTTGACCTGCTTCAAGAACGCTGGCTCTTCATCCTCAACATCGTCTTGGCTGTCTTTGTCATTATCCCGAGTTGGGTCCGCTGCTCCATCAGCGTCTGCAGCCTCTTGCTCACTCTCCTTGGCACTCGTCCCGTGTTCCTCTTCCTCCTCTCGCTTCTCCTCCTCTACCTCCTCTCGCCTCTCCTGCCGCTCACCCTCCGACTCAGTGTCGGAAGCCATTGCCACTGGTGGGTTTTGGCGGGAATCAGAAGTTTGCGTGAAAGTTCGGTGGTCTCTTTGAAAGTTTCAAACTTCCTTGAGCAAAAACTTGATGGAATTGTTCTTCAAAGTTCAGCAGCTCGAAGTTACATATTTCAGTCGAAAATCTTGTATATTCCGAATAATTGGAGTAAATTTCAAAAAATAATCAAAATATTTCGCACATGACCCAGGAACTTTCCAGCAAAGCCACGAATTCTCTCATGCGCCAATGGCGGGGCAATGAAGTAAATGGAGGGGCGGCGAAGCTGCCCCGGTGATGGCGGTTGCGAAGTCTCGCAGGAAAAATGCATGGAAGTAAGGACAGCAACATGCCACCCATGGAAATAAGGACAGGAACATGCCACCCCCCTTGGTAGGTTAAGGCAGATTCGTGGAGGGACCGCGACAGGAACCATTTGGTGTTTGGATCTGCGATGGAATTTGCCGGGGGGTCTGATAGCAACAGCTCTTACCTTCAAGAGTGTAAGAACCATCTCTACAGGTATGGAACCGTTAGATGTTGCACGTCGTCCATGTCCTGACTTGTTCGGAAGTGCATACGATGGTACCCAGAAGAGCATTCAGGTTCCATCTGACCTGTCGATATGGCGCGATGCCTTGACCATGCCTGTCATTCGCAGATGGCTGCCTCGTTCGTCGCATCTCACCCTGACATGAAGAGAACATTCGCTCAGATCTGGAAGACGTATATGCAATGTGTTTGGATGGTGTTGTAGTGACTTCCTGGACTCAGCTGCTTGGAAAGATGCTTCATGGACACGTCAGTGTCGCAAGCGCTGTCCTTGATCTACGTCTCCAACGAGCTGCTTCAAGTCTCCTGCCCCTTTCTGACAAGCTGCAAGTCTCCTCACTAGCTCCAGGTCTATGGCAACAATCCGGAGTGGCACCACCTATTCGCGGAGCTACTGCCCCAGTACTTGCCGAGGTTGTACTCGATCTGTATCAGTATTGGAGGTGATTTCACGATGGTGGGTGTTGAGGCATCTCATTGCTTGTTCAGAGAACATCATTGCAGCAAAAGTCATGAACCTTCCCAAGATCGTATGGAGGAGCAGAATGGTGTTCTCCGACCCTTTCTGTGAGAAGCTCGTCAACGATTGTTTGTTCGGATTCAACGGGGTACATGCTCCTCAACCTTGTGGGGAGTATGTCGCACAATCTTCAGTAACGACTCCTGTATGATCTGCAAAAATAGTTTCTTTGCATCTTCTGATATTGAAGCACAGATGTCAAACGTCCACTGTCCCACACAAAGGTAAATTCCTCCTGCATGAACATTCGTTTTGCTGTGCTGAAGAATGCCCTTTTTTAACAGCGAGAACTTGAATATGTTCTCGGGGGGAGCGAGCAATGGCCATCAGATACATATTGTAGAACTATTTTGTCGTTTTCTCTCCTGTCTTCTATGCTCATTTCTTGCCCTGCAGGGTGATCATGAAATGTTCCGTGTGAAATGGGTTGGGCTCTTTCCAGTTAGCTTGCATTCTGTGGATTTCCACAGTATAGAAAACAATCTTCCTCAGCAACCTCAGAACTTCGAGGTGAGAGATCATTTCAATCATTTTGCTTCTAACATAGTTGAAAGATCTCCAAAGCAATTCAAACCATTATCAAACAGGTAGGAAATGGTGGATTTTAAGTAGAAATCATGAATGATTTTATCTTCTTTGCTCGTTTCAATTCAAACAGTCTGGTGAGCATATGTCATCCACTGTCGTCAGCAAGGAAGTAGTTTTGAGGACTTTGGCGAACATCGGCCAGAAGGTGCATGAGCGGTCTGGCACATAATTGTTTCGTCAAACTCAACCTTGGAGCAGGCAGCGGACACTTGTCACAACAGTCTGCAGGAGATGGCGCGATTTATGCACGATAAGTGAGATTGATCGTTTGACTGTGCCTCGTTTGATCTCGAGGATCAGAGCAAGGAAAGACAGCGAGCAAAGACTTCTCCTTGCACTCTCTGGCGTTCAGGTAGTTTGTTTGCAAGAACTTCACCTTTGCTTGTCTGAGTTTTCGATCTCTCCTCCTATCTTGTCATCTTTGTTGTACGCTATCTCTCACCGTCTTGCCCCGTAGGCATTGCAAACTGTGGCTGTGCAAAACGCAGAGACTGAGAAGAACCTGATGATCGCAATTCAGAACATCCAGAACTTATTTCAGTACGATTGAATGACCTTCTTCATGCTTGTACCTTACATCAAACCACAGGATGCGATGGACAGATGATCTCGCGGCTTGGAATTTAGCGATCGATCAATTTGGTTGGGTTTCAACTCCTTTCATTTCGGTTTACATCCCTCTCCTTGAGGTGAGCTTGTTCTATTCATACTGGTTGTGTCATCTGGACTGTTTGTTCCGCTCGTCAAAACTTCTGTATGCTGACGTGTCTGATCAGAACTTGGCTGAAAGACTTTTGACGGACAACTCCGAGAGGATCGAGCCATCACCTGTGAGCTCTTGCTCAAGTTTGTTGAGATGATCGTTTAATGTTCTTACTGTAACAGGTGAATAACGGCTCTTCATCTTCATCTTTTCAACAGCCTGGCTCCCTTACCGACGATCTCTTGTTATCTGTACGACCTCGTCCTCCTCCCAATCTGTTGTGATCATGCTTGCAGATCTTTGCTCAATTTGTGGAGCATCAATCGTCCAATGCCCTCCCTGCCTCAGACGGCCTCACTTCCTATCCTTTCCCGAGCCTCCAAACGCAGTCGCCGCTTGCTCTCCCAGCCGCCTCTCACGTGGCTGCCCCTTCAAACCCTCCCGCTGTTCCATCCGTTCCTCCTACTGATCCCCGTGTACTGTTTACCTCCAGCAGCGGGCCACTGCAGCAAACCCACTCAGGAGACAAGGAGAAGAACTGGTCGCCTCCTACGGACCCTCGTCTTGCTCTCCGTCGGCCGAAGATTGGGGAGGCGAAGCTCGAAGACCATGGTGGCAAGAGCCCTCCTCTGAGCGAGAGAGAAGAGCAGGAGGAGGGGAGCAGGAGGGATCTGGAGCAGGAGGAGAAGAGGAACGAAAAGAATGAAGCTGGGCAAGCAGAAGGAGAGGAGCACAAGGGCTCGAATGGAAACATTTCGAAGATGGATGCTCCCTCCCGATCAGGTGACGAGGAGGCGGTCAAGGACGGCGGAGGTGCAGGGAGCAAGAGGAGCATCCAGTCCTCCGGGCCCGCGGGGCATGCAGAGGACGACATCATCCTGGAGAAGCAGGAGCTCTCCCTCCTTTGTCCGCTCTCACTCGTCCGAATGCGAGTGCCTGTCCGGGGTGACTGCTGTGAGCACATTCAGGTCCTTCTTCCGCTCATCCCCTCTCCTTGCTTTCCATCCTCTCCCTGCTACTTCTCCTTGCCTTCCTGTTTGTTTCCGCTCCTTTGTCCTTCCCCTTCTTCTCTCATTGCGCTGCTCCCTTTCCGAGTCTTACTCTCCCTTATCTCATCCGACTCTCCTTCACCTGACTGTCTCCCAGTGCTTCGACCAGGACGCCTGGCACTCCTTCGTCTCCAAGCAGAACTCCAACAGACCCCCCCACTGTCCAATCTGCAAGAAACCCGTCACAACGACATCTGAGGATCCTCGCTTCGCCCGACTGCTCGAGCTTGTGCCCAAGGAGACGAGCAAAGTTTGGGTGGACGAGGAGGTGAGAAGAGGAGGAGAATGAACGAGGGGCTGAGTGTCTTGCAGTGGCAGCCGGTGATTGAAGAGGACGATCAAGTATCTAAGAAGGTGAGGGAGGAGGAGGAGGAGGAGGACGGAAAGGAGGAGGAGGAGAAGGACGGGGAGGAGAGGAAGAGGAGGAGAAGGGTTGATTTCATATGTTGCAGGCGAGATATGAAGATTTGCAGAACGATTCAGATTCAGATGTCATCGTGCTAGATTGAAGGGGAGCTCGGTCATTATCAAAAGCTGATATACCATGATAGGACAGGGAGGCGGAAAGGGAGGAGAACTTGTAATTTTATGTAGTTGTATTTGTTCAGCAAGCTAGCAGGTAGGGTGGAGACTACTGAGGGAGAAATTGATAGAAATCAGGACATACAAGCGCGAGTGATTAGAGACATGTATTCGGTAAATAGAGGAACGATACCCTAAACCACTTGCTCTATCGTTGAATGGAGATGTTGTGGAGGGAGCAGCCGTGGAAACAGTGAAAAGAAGTTGCACGTCTTGTCAAGTCAGTGCAAACCAAGTTTCTCTCTTGCATTCACATCTTTATGGTAAAATCAGACCTCAACAGTCTATATCGATTAAGATTCCACCCGGCCCCTAACAATCACCGCCAACAACGTGGCCGCTATCACCATCACGTTCTTTCATATCAAGTCAACATCTCAGAGTCTTGTACTTCCACATCGACATCTTCCTTCTTGGTCACCTTGGCCTGTACGTAGATGCGAGCAGCCTTGAGCTTCTTGTAAAATCGCGGATTCTCAATCTGAAGCGCGACGGGCTCGTCGGGGAAGGTGGAGGTGAGTTTTGAGATGTCGAGGTAAGCAGTGCCGATGAGGTCGTCTTTGGTTATCTATGAACAGCTGAGAAAGAGGAGAAAACGAGAGAAAGGAGCGAAAGGGGGAGGGCAGGGCAGGGCAGGGCAGGGCAGGGCAGGGCAGGGCAGGGCAGGGCAGGGCAGGGCAGGGCAGGGCAGGGCAGGGCAGGGCAGGGCAGGGCAGGGCAGGGCAGGGAAGAAGAAAAAGGATAGAGTAAGGAAAGGAAAGAAATGAAGATAGCACAGAGAGAGAAGAAAGTGTAGGTAGGAGCTGAAAAGAGGAAAGTCCTTCGGGGAAGAAAAGAACATAAAGAGGATGAAGATGAACAGAAGTCACGTTGGATATCACGGCAGATGATTATGATGAGTTAGAGGTAGTGGAAAGGGGGATCGGGGTTGGGGGGGGGGGAGGGCGGGGGAAGGAGAGATGGAGGAGAAAGAGGAGAACGGGGAGGAGGATGAGGAGGAGGAGGATGAGCAGCAGCAGCAGCAGCAGCAGCTCGACTCACATTGTCCTTATCCCACACGGAGATAGTGACTATGGTGCTGTTGCTGTACACCTTCCACTCGAACGCCTCGTCCCACGTCGGGTTGACCTGCTTCCTGATGATCTTGCTCATGTACGAGTCCCTGCTGCCCTCCCCGTCCAGAAAGAGGATGCAGTACGGGTCGCAGCTCCTTACGAGATCCATCCTGGGGAGATGCTCTGCCCGGACGAGCCGGAGGGTTAGAGTCCCTAGAGCACCTGCTCCTCTACCCTGATCCTCCTCCTCCTCCTCCTCCTGGATGGTGACCGAGCTCTTCTGCGCTATCCCCTCCATCACTTGCACGATCCTCTTCTGCTGAGCCACCAGCTGATTCTGCAGCGCGTTCATGGAGAGAAGCCGCCTGCATGAGGAGTTATGTGATACCCCTTCCTCCTCCTTCTCTACCTCCTCCACCTCCTCTATCTCCCCCTATACCCGCTTCATCGCCTTCGCTCCTAGTTCTCCCCCGTCCCCCGTCCTTCTTCCTTCACCACCTCTTCGTTCTCTACATCTTCCTCTTCCATCCCTACCTTCCTCTTCTTCTCCACCTTCCCTCCTCACCCTCCTTCCCTCCTCACCTCATGTTCTCTATCTCGAGGATGAGCTTGAAGTCCTGGTTCTTCCTATCCTGCAACTCGGACAGGTCTTCCCCGTAACGATCCAGCAAGTTGTGAATCGCCTCGCTGTCCTCCATCCCCCCGACCTCTTCCCCATCCTCCTGCCCCTCAGCCTGCCCTTCCACAGGATGCACCCTTGGTCCTCCCGTCTTCCCCAGGAACAGCTCGAGATCCTGGTAGTCGACTTTGATTCCTCCTCGGATCAGGATGGCGCGCTGGTAGGCCATGCGCTTGCTGATGTCGAGCTTCACCTTGTGCATCTGCTGCATCCTCTCCTTCTCCTCCAGCAGCCTCTGCTTCAGCCTTTGGTTTGAGATGAAGGAGCTCCCGGGCAGCACCAGCCGCTTCACCTCGTGCGCTACCACAGAGGAGAAGTCGCTGATGAGGCCGGTGGAGCCGTCGGTGTGGCTCTTGACGTTGGCGTACGCGTCGACGAGGATGGCGAGGAAGATGTTAAAGAGGATGAAGAAGACGATGAAGAGGTAGGACCAGAGAAAGATGTGGAAGGCCGCAAAGTCCGAAGCATGCGACATCTGCGAGAGGAGCAGGTCAGGGAGGAGGACGGGAAGGGGAAGATCTTACGGAGGAGAAGAACTGAGTCGTGTCGAAGTTGAGGAGGAATATGGTGAGGGTGATGCAGGAGCTCGAAAGGTTCTTCATGCCCTGCACCATGCTCGTCAGCTATCGCAGGGAGGGGAGGAGGGGAGGGAGGGGAGCGGGATAGCAGGGGAGAGGAGAGGGTGAGGAGAGGGAGAGCAGTGTCGGAGAGAGTCAGAGAGGGGAGGAAGAGGAGGCGACAGACCTCAAACTGATGACCGAAGAGCAGGACGCCGACGATGGCGTAGCCCATGAAGACGATGAGGAAGAGGAGGATGAAGTGCCAGAGATCGCTCGCAGCGTTAGAGATCGTCCTTGTCACCATCCCCATCCTCTCCTGGAAGTCGAGGGACTTGAGCATTCTGAGCACGAAGAGGACGACGCTGACCCCCGCGAAGAAGGAGAACACCTGCATCGTGCTGGAGATGCGCTGCATGGTGTGGATCAGGCTCAGGAAGTCGAACTCTGCCTGGTTGTTGGTTCGAAACATCCTCGCGCTCGCTGGTTTCGTAGCCGAGAGCGGAGCCTCGAAGGTCCTCGCTGCCCCGTACCTCCTCGACGTGCTGTTGTCGTACTTGGGTCCGTAGAAGAGGATGGGATAGTTGGGGAGGAGGGTCAAGCCCTGCACCTCAGCTCTGTGCACGAACCAGGTGACGACAGTTCCCCACATGAAGACAAAGTGAAGGAGGTCAACCCAGTTGAACAGGTCGGCGAAGTACTCGTGGAGGGCAAACTTCCTAGCCTGCACCATGATGTCCATGATTTCCAGTATGCAGTTGATAGCGAGGAAGAGGATCACGAGGAGCATCAGGACGGCCTGAACGACGCTGGGGTAGAGGATGCGGTCGAAGGAGATGGTCTTGATATTGTAGTTCCAAGGGATCTTCCCGCTGGTCTCCCACTTGAACGAGATGTCGAGGTAGAGGAAGAGGTTCTTCACAGCGTTGAACGTCACCACCTCCACGTGCAGCTCTTGCGTCTGAGCGTCAAGGAACTTCCCGTCCTTGGCAAACGCCACCATGGCCTGCGCCTGCTTCTGCGTCAGCCGCTCGTCGAAGAAGAGCTTGAAGCTGTTTCTGTCCTCCCCATGAACAACCTTCGCATCCTTCTCATGCACCGTCTCGTAGCTCTTGTCCATCGCCAGCTCCTCTAGCGACAGGGTCCCGTCCAGGTTCGCGTCCAGCCAGTTGGCGTCGTACTCGTGAGGAAAGAAGCCCTTGGGGAAGGAGAGGGTGGAGGAGCCGTCGGTGCCGTTGACCGCGTGCCGTTCGCTGGGCCCGTAGAACATCTCGGGCCGGAGCTTCCCGTTGTAGATGGAGCTGAAGGGCATGAAAGTCGCGTCGTAGCCGAAGGGCTTCGGGTCAAACTGCTGCTCCGAGGGGCACAGGACTCCCTCCTTGGCGGACTGAGTGAAGGCCTTCACGTCAGGCTTCTGGATGCCCTGGGAGCAATCTTCTCCCTTCCTCCTCCTCTGCGAGATCACGATCCCTCCCACCATCCGGTTGTACGGCGTCAGCTCTCGCACCTTGGGCTGGAACTGGGGGATGACGGTGGGGGTCTTGCCACGGGCGTTGAACTTCCAGACCTCGAACTCGTGGTTGTCCTTGCAGTTCGTGTCCAAGTAGGACAAGATCTTGCTGGCGTCGATGCACTCCGGGTAGCCTCCTGACCCAGGGCACTTGTCTTGCGGGCAGTGACCGGTGTAAGAGTCCCTGCTGTCTACGATGCAGAACGAGCACTCGAGACAAACTCCAAAGTCATACCCGGCATCAGGGACTCGGTAGCAGAAGGCTGAGTCCGGACAGTCGTAGTGGGTCACACAAGCCTCGTAGAAGCCAGACGTCTGCAGCTGAGAGGAGATGGAGGAGGACCGCAGGGAGAGGCTGGTGTGAGGGAAGGCAGCGGGGTAGCCGGTGAGGAGGGAAGCGAGCGCGGCCTTGAAGCTCGTGTCGACCGCCACCACCTCAAGGTTGGAGGACGTGAAGACTTTGACCGTGACGTCAGCGACGGAGAGGCTAGAGGCGTCAGCCGACTGGGACAAGACAGCCGAGCCGAGGGCTATCCTGCTCTTGTCCTCGTTGAGAGCCGTCGAGAGAGCAGACTGGAGCCAAGTGAAGCTCGCGTTAGCGTCGAAGGTCTGGTTGTTGAGCTCCACCACGCGGAAGGTCGCGGAGAGAAAGGGAGGAGGGAAGACGCAGATATGAAAGGGAGTGCCCATGGCACTCGGCAGAGTCCCCGAGCAGGCGATGGCGAGGACGGAGACATCGGTACCTTCGACATCGGCGGTCTCAAGGAACACATTCGCGTACGTCGGGTTGGAGTAGAAGGGCCCGGTAGTGCAACTTGGCTGCATCAGGCAGACGTTCTGACTGTCGCACAGCGTGACTACGTAGGCGATCTTGGCGCTGGTGGTAGTGGACTTGATCTCAAAGTCCACGAAGAAGTTCTCTCCGTCGCAGGAGGTTGTCACAGTCTGGTCGACCAGCTTCACCGTCGCTGCTGTTGGTCTCGTCGGACATGCCTGCCCCCCCCAAGTCGCGCAGATGGAAGCGAGCGAGTCAGGGAGGATGACTTGCACGCGAGCTCGCCACGAAGGGATGGAGATCGTAGGCGTCGGCTCTCCCGGCCGGGCACCGTTGCAGACGGTCACGTCAGAGGACGAGCACTCTGTGCTGCAGGCGTCGTCAGTGCAGGCACAGGCCG